GCTGGGTGTGGGGCTCCGGGCACGTGCCCAGAGGTGCTCAGCATTTACTTCTGCTGAGGGAGTTTTCTCCCTTGGCACCCTCTCAGCACCCCTCACCCCGCCTGCCTCTTCCCTGTGTCCCTTGCCCTTCCCTTCCGCCCGGTCCTCCTGGCTCCCCAAAGAGCCGAGGAACCGCTGAGCTCAGCTCTTCCCGAAGCCCCGGCTCGGCTCAGATCGCAGCCTTTGTCCCCGCCGCCGTGGGCACCGAGCGGGCGGGGGCGGCCCCGGAGGCGGGAGCTTCCCGGCCGCCGGCGCGTCCCTCGCTGCACGCTCTGTCCTCTGGGGTGGGGGACAGCTCGACACCACAGCGGGCCCTGCTCAATTGTGAGCCGAGGAAGCTGAGCGCCCTCTCCGCCGGTGCCAGATCCTGCCTCTGAAAAGCTCCCGGGCGCTTTCTCTTCTCCCGGCCGCGCACACCCGCCGCTCAGCCTGCGGATTGCCAAGTGGCAAATAGGCCGGCTCTGTTCTAGGGATTCCGGGGCCTTTCTGAGAGGGGATGAGCTGCCAGCCAGCCCTCCCTCCCTCCCTCCTCGGTCCCCTCAGGAGCTGGGGAAAGGATAGGGCGGGGCGGAGAGGTGGGGCCTAGGGACGAGATAGTCCTGGGCGAGAGGTCCTTGGGGAAAGGCCCGGGTTCTATGGGCCTCATATTTTTATTGACAAAACGAAGCAGCTGGCTCCAGACCCATATTTTGCCAATTCAATTTTTTTTAAAAATTACATTAATTTTTAATTTATCTTGATCACTGAGGTTTGTTTTTTGGGTTTTTTTTTTTTTTCCTTAAATCTTGTGCTTTGAAGCAAATGCCTCACCCTGATCCTCACCCATAGTTTCACTGGAAGACTGTCCCCATCACTGACTGTCCCCTGACCCCTGATTGTCTCCTCTCCTTCCATGCCCCAGGGAGGAATAGGGATGCATGGTTGCCATCCTGCTGCCAGGAGAAACATTTTTCTTCCTTGCTAGGGTAGGGTGGGCCTCTGAAGTGACCTCACCCAGGGTGGGAACAAGAATAGAGGCTGCTGGGGAGGGGGGTGATGGAATTCTAGGAAGCAAAGACTGGGAAGAGATCTAGACAACCCAGTCAGGGTGCCACCAAGACTCAGATGCCACTGAAGGCCAAAACCTAAATGAGAACCCTAGTCTCTGGCTGGGCAGTGACTTTGTGTGTGTGTGTGTGTGTGTGTGTGTGTGTGTGTGTGTGTGTTGTGGTGTGTTTGTAGTCCTGGCATTGAACTCAGGACCTTGCGCATGCCAAGCAGGTGCTTGTGCCAGTGAGCTGACTCCCCAGCCCACTGGGTAGTGACTTTGAATTAAACTCCACGCAGGGTATGTTGTGGAAGGAGCCCCAGAGGATGGAGAAGCTGCCTGCTGGCCCTGGACTGTGAGTCCTCCTGGAGGACAGGGCAGCCAATACCTGGTGCAAACTTCTAGGACTTTCAGGGAGCCTCCCCTAGCCCCTGGTTCTGATGGTACCCAGGAGGATGTTTCTTTAGCTACTTAGGGATTGAGAATTTTCTGGACAGGAGGCAGCTAGAGACATGGAAGAGTTGACACCCAGCTTCACTGCATCCACAGTATGTGACCTTGACACTTCAACTTCCCATTCTGGAAAGTGGGGATTGGAATTCCTCGCTCCTAGCATCACTTCAGTAGGGAAACTGGGGTGCTCTCTGGCCCTGTACCAGTTTACAGAAAGCACCATGAGATACATTTTCCTTCTCCTTTGCTTAAATCCACAGTTACTCATTGAGCTCCATTCCTGTGACTGACACTGTCCTTCCAGGTCACTTACTGTGGGAATCAGTGACTCACGCAGGCCTTGTCCCCTGTCTCCCAGCTTGAACCTCTTTTTCTAGGTGACACCGCTCACTCACCTGCACCCTGGCAAAGCACCCTGGTGCTTACACTGGCCTGGCCCATGACTGGGTGGCACAGGAAACCCCAGATCAGGTTGTGCTTGGCCAAGAAGGCATCCCAGGGTGAATCCCCAGCTGACCCCACAATTCTTGGGTGCTGAACCCCAGGGAACCCTGCTAAGCATCCTCCCCCTGAGACTGCTCTTCTACTCACTGTCTGCTTCCTAGCAGGCAGGCTGCCCGGGTCTGGGGGCTGCTTGCCAAAGGAGAAGCTGCCCTTCTCGTAGAAGGGCCCCCACAGCAGGGCTGCTGCTCCCCCTTGCCTACTCCGTCTGTCTCCAGGGATGCTGATTTGATTTCCTCCAATCACCAGCATTGCCATCTGCCTGCAGTAATTAAATGGTATTTGAACTGGATCCAGAAATCCCATCACAGGCAGACTTGTGAGAAAGAGGGTGTCCTCAGGAGCTGGTACTTATCTGCACAGCCTGGGGTTCTCAGAGCTGCCTGGGACAGCTCCTTGGTTTACATGGAAGCACCTGAATGGCCTGGAAGGAGGCGTCTGTCTTAGGCTAGCCCTGAGGGCCAGAGTCTAGATTCCTGTCCTGTGTCAAGTGCAGGCCACACTCCTTTTTCAGTTGCTGTCCACTCTGTTTCCCAAGTAGGAGACTTTCTCTTGACCCTCAGGGACCTGGCCCCTGGAGGCTGTGTAGTACAAGGCCATCAAAAGGGCAGTGTATAGACTGTTTGAACTCAGATTGGCTCCTTACTGTCTGTGACTGGTAGTAGTCTCATCAGTTATGGTGAAGTCGGAATTCATACGTGCTGATCTGCTGGCACACAGTGCAATCCCAGCACTTTGGAAGCACTTTGAGCCCAGCCTGAACAACTTACCAACTTAGCGAGACCCTGTCTTAACAAACAAAAAAGGGTTAGGGATGTAGCTCAGTGTGAAGGCCCTAAGTTCCACTCTCATTACCATTTCCCCTCACAACACATACAGAGTTAATTTGTGTCAGGGCTGTAGTTGCCGCCTGGCATACAGTAAGAACTCACATGTGTTTGCTGCCATGATTAGAGATAGAAGTCAAGATAGGAGCCTTGCTGGGGTGGATGTGGGGGTTGGGTTAAGTTACAGGTCCAAAGAGTGTGAACACAAATCAGCTTCACCCTTCCCAGGTAGAAACCAAGTCAGGCAAAGGCTGAGAAGTTGATTCTACTTTCAGCTTAGCCCAGAACCTTCTGGATACAGGTGGCAACCTTCTGGGGCTTCCGTTCCTCTTCCTGAGGACTAGTTCAAACCTCAGAGGAAATCCTTCTGAAGGAAATCCTTCAGGGGGGGACTGGGCTCGAGGGCCTCACTGCCAGGGATCTCCCCACTCCCTCAGTCTGCTCCCTAATGGCAGAGCACAGGTACCATGGTCATGGGAGCACTAAGCCCATTCTGTGGCTCTGAGTGGGCCTTGGGGGCTGAGGCAGCCTGGGACAGGGACAGGATAGTCCATTGAAGGCCCAGGCTCTGGGGCTGGGCGCCTGTGGTCCCTGGGTGTCTTGGTCCCTCTCATGCTTTTCTTCTTTTATAAATGTTGGCTTAGGGTGAGGAAGCCTGACAAGTGGCTCATTGTGAGCATCCGGGCTACAGGGGCTGGCTTGTGAGGGCCCATGGACATCGGAGACTAACCCCCCTTTACTTTAGGGTGTTTGGGGGTGCTTTCTGCCAATTCCTGCACACGCATGCTGGCTGACTCATGCTTGGTTGCCATGGGGACCTTGCCATGGTGATGGCTGCTTAGGAGAGGGAAGAAGGGTGGCTGGATGGAGACAGTTCTGCCCATGGCTGGCTCCCTACTCAGTCTTCGTGCCATTTTTCCTTTCCTGTACAGGGAAACCTGCCAAGATCTGGGCTGTGCGTACAGCCTGTGACTGACCTAGTGTCCCTCCTAGAGGCCCCTGCCATTCACAGGGAGCTTTTCACTTGATCTGGGCTGCCAGGGTTGTGCCTGATCAAGTCCTGCAGCTCCTGGGAAGGAGTCAGAGCTTGTGCCTGAGAATGCCCACCAGGCTCTGGCATCTGGGAAGGGGGTTTTCGGGCTGGAGGGCCCTTTGTCTTAGTCACTGTTTCATTGCTGAGACAAAATACCTGGCATCTACAACTTAAAAGAGGAGAGGCTTGTTTTGACTCACACGGTAGAGGTTTCAGTGTGTAGCCAGCTGGCTCCAGCTCAGGAGGGGGAAGGGAAGGGTATGAGAAGGAAAGCTGCTCCCCTCATGGCAGCAGGAAGCAGTGAGTGAAAGGAGGAACTGCAAGAGAGAGATCCTCCCTTCCTAGGCTTTGCTGTGGTGACCCGCCTCTTCCAACCAGCCTCTACCTCCTGACAACACACTTCATCACCTTGGTGACTGGTAACTGTAGCTCCCCCATGAGCCAGTGGCTTCCCTGAAGCCCCACCTGTGATGGCACAGGGCTTTGATGGGACATCTAGATACTATGAGTCATCACAACTTCGTATCCTTTGCAGCCCTTGGCAGAAGCTCTGATCTCTTCCAGAACTTAGCCGGGGATCCGGGACTCCAGGGCTCTGGGGCTCCAGGGCTCGAGGAGTCTGATATAGCATTTGGGGAGCCACCAGGCTGTCCCTCTCTTCCCCAGCCTGGCCCTGAGCTTTGTTTCCCCAGAAGTGGGTGAGTGTCTTCTCCCCTTGCTCAAACACATGCTGGTTTCTATCAAGGAGTATATGCTTTCCTGTCACATGGACCTGGGTTTTGCTCTATCACTTTCCATCCTACAACCTTGGACAAGTCATTTAAACTTTCTCAGCCTCAGATTTGTCATCTATAAAATCAGGCAAACAGTAGGCACTGCATGGGTTTGTAATGAAGAACACAAGAGTTAATTTCTACAAAATACTTTCAACACAGCTTCCGGATACACTGAGTACTCTGCAGATGTTAGCAACTACTGCTTTTGGTGATGTTCATATTATTATGACTGAATTACTAAAGCTCAGGGCTCCTAACTTCCTCTTCTAGCTGGTAGAGAGGTGGAAGGTGGAAGGTAATAGGAAAGAAGAGGACCTGACCCTGGGCTCTTCCTATCTTGGCAGGATCCGGCCCCAGCTATCAAAGGAGAAGATTGAAGGCTGTCACATCTGTACCTCTGTCACCCCAGGGGAGCCCCAGGTCCTGCTGGGGAAGGATAAAGCCTTCACTTATGACTTTGTCTTTGACTTGGACACATGGCAGGAACAGATTTATACAACCTGTGTAAGCAAGCTCATTGAGGGCTGCTTTGAGGGCTACAATGCCACAGTGCTGGCCTATGGACAGGTAAGCCCCCTCTACCTCCACCAGTGACCACCTATCTTTGATTTTCCCCCATCTGAAGGGGGATACAGCCCTATCTCCAGAGCAACTGAGACACAGCTGTGTAGTTTTATCTGTTGTCTGAGGATGCTGCTGCACTCCTGTTTGACTCAGGGGCAGCTGTCATCGGAGACTTCCACTATGTGTGGAAGGGGCACCAGGCTGAAGGTAGATGGGTGAGATGGTTTGGCGAGGTACAAGCATTGCTGGTGACTCTTTCATTCTGTCTTTTCCAATGCAGACAGGGGCCGGGAAAACATACACTATGGGCACTGGCTTCGACATGGCGACATCGGAGGAGGAGCAGGGAATCATTCCAAGAGCCATCACACACCTCTTCAGGGGCATCGCTGAGCGCAAGCAACGGGCTCAGGAGCAGGGCATAGCTGGGCCTGAGTTCAAAGTCAGCGCTCAGTTCTTGGAGGTATTGTGGTCTGCAGGGTGGGCAGGAGGGACACGTGGTGGGTGTCATAGGCTCTGAACCCTCCTCCAGTGTGGGAGAATGAGCCTAGGGAGCAATGGGAGCATCGATGCGTGACAAGTTCCCTACTGCTGGAAGTATCTAAGCAAGGCCGGGAGGACCACTTGGTGGGACTCTCGGAAGGGTGTCCTGTATCAGATGGGGCTAGGGTTGGTACCCTGTAAGACCTTGAACCCTGAATGATTCTAGCTCTGACACATGTGACCTTGAACATGTCATTTTACCGCTTTGAGCGAAGGGTTGGTGAGGATGACTTAGAAACGTATGCCTGCGCAGGGTGAGAGCTCCAGTTCTCTGCCCTCCTTCCAGCCTCACTGGGGCCCTCCTCTGCCTCCAAGCAGCCTGCTTGTCCTTTTGGCTAACATGCTTCCTGCCTCTCTGAGGATCTCAGGCCACAGGACAGAAAGGTCTTCCAGAAGGGGCCTTCTTTTGCCTCTGATCCTACTGTCTCTGGGGAGATATCAGCCCAGAACTGTGGCAGCCAGGCACTTTTGGGGTGAGTGAGTGGGTCTCTGGGCTTCTTATGCCAGAGGTGCTGAGCCCCAGGTCAGGAACACCAGCAATAGTAGCTCCCTTTTTTGCAGGGGGCTATCGAGGGCACCAAGTGAACCCTTTTTCCTTAGAGCTTTACTAGGCTGCTCTCCCGGGATACTTGGTTAGACAGGTCCAGTTCTCAACATCAGGGCCCTGGGGATCTAGCCCTAGGGATTTTTCTAGGTCTGAAGCACCCTGGGGTCTCACCCTAAACCCTGGTTCTCCAACTGTACCCTGGTTGTTCTTAGAAAGAGGGATGGATGTGGCCTCAGCCCCGCCCTTATTCACTCATATCTCACCCCCTGTGCCTGTCACTTTCTCCTGGGTCACAGGAGGAGGCAGGGCCACAGCCTTCCCCTCATGGGACCTGTACTTTAGGCTCTGGAGCTTTTCTATGTCCTCTTGGACTTCTGCTACTCATAAACTGCCTTACTTCTGTGTGTGCTTGTGTACGTGTGTTTGTGCATATGCATGTGTGTATGCTGTTCCTTGTGTATCCCTAGAAGCTTTTCTTTTCACAGCTCCTTGTTTTCTTTTCTTTTCCATCCTTTTGTCACAGAGACTCCTGCCTTTGGATAATTCATACCAAGGGTAACCACAGGGGGCCAGATGATCCAACATCATGGCCCCTCATCTTCAACAACTCTTCTTTCAGTATCTCTTCCCTCACCACCTCTTCTTCCACATCCTGGGGGTATTTCTGTCCTTTCAAGGCCATCAAAGCTCTGGATGGCTGAGCACTGTGGTTCCCCCTACCCTCTCCCCCAGGAGATTCTCTGGGCTGCCCCAGCTGTCCAGATCCCTTGCCCACTCCCAGCCCCGGCTCCCTGCTGCTGGCCATCCAGTGCTTTAGCAGCTGACAGCTTGAGCTCCTCTCACAGGAATCTCTTTGACTGAGACTAAAGGAGTGTGGCCACTCCTGGCCAGGCCCACTCCCCACAGTGGTCTTCCCAGGAGGCTGACGCAGTGGCCTTTCTCTGTGCTCTCCTCTCCTCCCAAGGGGCACTGCCAGCATTCCTCTTACTAGGAGGCCGTCATCACCTCAGTCCCAGGGACCACCAGCATTAGGGTGCAGCTCCCTGGTCTCCACTGCCCACTCCATCTGGAATGACATCCTCATCTCCTCTCTCCCAGTCCAGTTATATGATAAGATCGGGCCAAATCGTGGTTGTTTCATCCTCATCTCTGATGTACAATACCTACATCCATCAGTCCCCTTTAGGTCCTAAGCAGTGGTGTACCACCTAAGATCCAGCAGATCTTCCTTCCCTGTCTAGTAAAAGGGTCCTGGAATTCAGAACCCAGAGGGGAGCAGGGCTGGGCAAGCTAAACTCCTGGGTGTCATTTTCCACTTCTGCACAATGGAAATGGTTTATGGACATGAGAAAGCCCTTTGGGCCCCTCACCGTGTGCCCCACAAACCCAGCCACTGTTTCCTCCTGGCACAGCTCTACAATGAGGAGATCCTTGATCTGTTTGATAGCACACGCGACACTGACACCCGCCACCGCAGGTCCAACATCAAGATCCATGAGGATGCCAGTGGTGGCATCTACACCACAGGCGTCACTTCTCGCCTCATCAACTCCCAGGAGGAGGTGAGTGTCCTCTGGCGGTGCAGGGCAGGCATGAGGCCTCCCAAAAGACCAGTGGTGGCCAGCACAGCGCTCCTGTGTCCTCACATCTGCTTCTGCCCCCAGCTGATCCAATGCCTGAAGCAGGGCGCCCTGTCTCGCACCACGGCCAGCACCCAGATGAATGTCCAGAGCTCCCGCTCCCACGCCATCTTCACCATCCACCTGTGCCAGATGCGCATGTGTGCCCAGCCCGACCTGGTGAGGGGACCTTGGGGTCTAGTGGCTGCGTGCTAGAGGAGGCACGCAGGGAGGGTGAGCTGAGGAGCCAGAGTCAGGGCTCACCTCTGCCACTCGTTGATTCTTCCTCTTTCCTTGAGCTTCCTTCGCCCCATGTGTGTGGTGGGGTGATGACGCCTCTACTGTTGTGTTGTGGAGAGCATGGCAGCTCAGTGTGTGCGAGTGCTGTGTGCACGTCAGGCTCTCACATGCGAAGGGGCAAGGCGCCACATGTCTGTTCTGTGGGAAGGTCAGTCAGCAGCAGAGAGCCAGCAAGGTGGGGCAGAGGCTGGGGAGTCAGAGGTCACCTTCTGCTGCAGGTGAACGAGGCAGTGACCAGGCTTGCGGAGGGCGCAGCTCCTACAAATGAGTATGAGACTCTCACGGCTAAGTTTCACTTTGTGGACCTGGCTGGCTCAGAACGCTTGAAGCGGACGGGAGCCACCGGCGAGCGGGCCAAAGAGGGCATCTCCATCAACTGTGGCCTGGTAGGCACATGGAGAGTCAGTGGTTCCAGTGGTCAGGACAGCTCTGTAACCCCACAGCTGCCCAGTCTTCCTTGGGCCTTTTCCAGCTGCTGCCCAGGGCACTCACAGTCCTCACCTTTAGGCCTCCAGCCCTTCACTCTCAGTCCTCACCCTTGCCCTAACTCCCTAATTTTACTAGTGTGTCAAATTTGCCCATAGACCCAACCAGGACCCTGAGGATTACTGGAGCCAGCTAGACATGTGGATGGCTTGGGACTGTGTTGTGCTGGGTCCTCCCTCCCTGAGGGACTCTTGAGCTGCAGAGTCTGTCTCTTGCAGCTGGCCTTAGGCAATGTCATCAGCGCCCTGGGAGACCAAAGCAAGAAGGTGGTGCACGTGCCCTACAGGGACTCCAAGCTCACTCGGCTTCTCCAGGACTCACTGGGGGGCAACAGGTAACTGACGACATGCAGGGAGGACCCAGGGGAGACAGAGAATTTCTGGGGATTTTTGCCATGAGGGTGGGGTAGGTGGGTAGTCGTGTGGAGGAAGAGGAAGGAGAGATGGAGGAGGAAGAGGAGACCTTGCTCAGCAGACACCTTGAGATGCTCCATGACTTTTGGCCAGTTATGTTCAGACTTAGCGTCATGTCTGCAAGGCTGGAAGAACTACTCCCAATGGAAGGCCTATTACTCAGATGAGACAAGAGAGGCCATGCATGTCCGCATCCCTAAGCAGAGGGCTCTGCAGCTAGGCACCCTTACTTTGCTAGCCACCTTCATGGGGCTACCCTCTCAATGGAAACTGTCAACCAGGTAGTCCAGAGCTTTATGCCTCAGGTTCCACTCTTCTGAATGCCCAGATCCTTTGAGTCTAAGGTCATGGGGAATGGGTAGGAATGGGGCTCGTGCTCCACAGTGGTGCTTCTTGGGTGGCTGTGTTCCTGGCCCTCACCCCAGCCTGACCACACCTCCAGCCAGACCATCATGATTGCCTGTGTGAGCCCCTCGGATCGGGACTTCATGGAGACGCTCAACACACTTAAATATGCCAATCGGGCTCGCAACATCAAGAACAAGGTAGTGGTGAACCAGGACAAGACCAGCCAGCAGATCAGCGCGCTGCGGGCCGAGATCGCACGCCTGCAAATGGAGCTGATGGAGTACAAGGCGGTGAGCACCTCCCATCTGCACCCCACAGGCTTCCTTGGAGCCTGTGCCCCCTAGCACCACCTTGCCATCTCTATCTGAGTTCTTTGGCATGCCTCTTGCCCACTCCTTTGCCTCCCTAACATCACTCTGTACCAGGCATGTGTGCCATGCACTAGGGCCTCTCCAGGGGAATCTGACACAGTCAGAGCACACCAGGCTTTAGAATAATACTAAGTCTGGGGCAGAGGAGCACCTTGGCTTTGCTACATGGACAGTATGGCTAGGACAGAGGTGTTTTTATATCCACTGGACAGATGAGATTGCTCCACTGGGACAGCGTAGTTGACAGTGGGGACCATGAGAATAGGTCATTGTGCTGCAGGGGGACAGAGGAAAGAGTTGTTCCTCTTCATGCAGGTGACCAGAAGGGTCTCATGGAGGAAACCTGCTGAACAAATGAGGCAGCATCAGAAGGAGGGGGATAGAGACAGGCGTGGCAACGCATGCCTGTAAATTTGGCGCTGTGGGAAGCTGGGGCAGGAGAGACACAAATTTAAGCCCTACCTGGGTGACTTTGCAGCTTAGTCTCATTCTTTAAAAAAGAGGCCGAAAATGTCACTTGCTCAGGGCAAGCACCCGGGTTCAACGCCCAGCACAAAAAGATAAAAAGTGGAATGCATTCTAGGTAGAGAACAGGCCTCACATAAAGGCACAGAAATGAGAACAAGTGCTTCAGGGAGGCGTCTAACTCTATGTGACCAAAGCTGAGGTCACCAAGTGGTGGCCTGTGGCTGGCATCTGGCACACGGATGGTTGCAGATTGCGTTGGATACAACCTAAGTTTTCAGCCTTTTTGAAAATGCCCTAAAAGCTGGACTTCCAGCTTTGCTTGACAACCTTGGAGCTCTAAGAGATGGCACCTGGAGTCCCAGCGTGGCTGACTCTGTAAGACCAAGTCTGCGACTCTTTATCTCAGTCTCCCCTACTCCCTGCTGTCCTCCACCCCAGCTGACTCATTTCTGTGAGCTTCCCATCCAGGCAGGCTTGGATTAGCCTGCATAGAGGTGGGAAAGTGAGCACACACCGGTAGGAAGGAGAGATAGATGGTGGGTTGACTTCATTGTCAGGGGGACCCATGTGAGGTTTGTGAGTGCTGAGAAACAGGAGCTGCATGTTAGGAAACACGGGTCTGGGAAGCCCTCCAGTGCTGCCTCATCCCAAAGAGGTCAGCATGTGGCAGAGTGAAGTGCACGCCCCTGTAAGGCCCAGTGCCTGACTGCTCCCTTCCCGCCTTGCCCAGGGCAAGCGGGTGATCGGGGAGGACGGCGCCGAGGGCTACAGTGACCTGTACCGGGAGAATGCCATGCTCCAGAAGGAGAACGGGGCACTGCGGATGCGGGTGAAGGCCATGCAGGAGGCCATCGATGCCATCAACAACCGCGTCACCCATCTCATGAGCCAGGAGGCCAACCTGCTTCTGGCCAAAGCTGGTGAGCCAGAGGGCATTGGAGCACCTGTGTGTCAGGGCCCTCCTCTCCCTCTCCTGTCCCACCTCAATTCATTGCTGTATTGTTTTATGACATGAGTGTTCCATGATGTATTTTTTATGATATGAGTAATATGTGAACATGTCCTTGCTAAACAAGCCAGCAATACATCAGACGTAAGGTAAAGGATTAAAGTGCTCTTGCCACACTCTGCCCGCATCCTCTCTGTTTCTCAGAAGGAAGCTTCACAAGCAGCTGGGTGTGCATTTTTCACACCTTTTCCAGCACACTTATTTCAAATGTAAATATATTCCTATATGTATTCATCTATCTGTGTCCACACGGCTTTTTCCATAAATGAGATAATATATATCATTCGATGACTTCCCTTTTTCCTTTGGCATTATGTTTTATAGATTTCCCTATTAAAACCCACTTAATTTTTTAAATTACTGCATAACGTTCCATATGTGGTGATGAATGATTTAGCACAGCAGCCCTGTGTGGGTGGACATTCTGGGTGTTTCCAGTTTCTCCCTGTTACCAACAGAGCTGTCTGTGCACGTGTGCAGGCGCTTCCTTGATATGGACTCCTTCATGGAACAGGCCTGTGTGGGTTGCCCTGCTAGAGCTTGCTGTTGTCACTGTCCTTACCACACCTTCCTCTGGCTCCCCTCTCTAGGTGATGGCAATGAGGCTATTGGCGCTCTGATCCAGAACTACATCCGGGAGATTGAGGAGCTGCGGTGAGTGAGCCCAAGCAGGTGTAAGTAGGCTGGGAGCACTTGGCCAGGCCAGGCTTGAGGTGCTGTCTGCTCAACCCCACCTGCCCCATCCACTCTTCTCATGCAGGACAAAGCTCTTGGAGAGTGAGGCCATGAACGAGTCCCTCCGGCGCAACCTGTCCCGGGCCTCAGCTCGGAGCCCCTACTCCCTGGGAGCATCTCCAGCTGGTCCAGCCTTTGGGGGCAGCCCGGTCAGCTCCATGGAGGATGCTTCTGAGGTGATCCGCAGGGCCAGGCAGGACCTGGAGCGGCTAAAGAAGAAGGAGGTCAGGCAGCGGAGGAAGAGGTGAGTGGGGAGCTGCACCCCTGGAGTGGCACTCACGGGTGTCACCCCACCTCAGTACTCCCCCTCCCCTGTGTTCAGGAAGGATCACCTACACAACCTCAGCCCATCCATGGGAGCTGCCCTGATTTCAACTGTGAATCATGGAGCAAATGTGCCTTTTGGCAGAGTCCCCTCCCTTAATCCATACCCATATACCTTCTCCAGTGCTGTGCTGCCTTCCCCAAGGTTAATTCGGATCAGCGTCTCAAGAGGGGCGACTGAGTTCCCAGAGCAGGAGCCCAGCCCTGTCCCCACATGCTGGCGGCAGGAGCGTTGCTTGTGCCGCTCCTGCTGCTCCCCTGCCCCTGTGCTTGAGGCAGGGTTTGCCCCGCCTTATCTGGTCTCTCCTCTCTCTCAGCAGCCCAGAGAAGGAAGCCTTCAAGAAGCGGGCAAAACTCCAACAGGAAAACAGTGAGGAGACGGATGAGAATGAGGCTGAGGAGGTGAGGACCCCGGCCCTCCTCAGCACGGCTCACCCCATTCCTGTCAGTGGCTTTGGACACGGTGGAATGGAGGGGGCTCCCTTAGTCAGTCCTTGAGTTTCCTGGTATCTCAGACTGGTTGCCATGGTTTTCTCCATTCCTCAGACCCCCCACTTCATCCCAAGCAGACAGTGTGGAAGGGAGACTCCTTCTGGGGGTTGTGCTTAGGGTCCTAGGGGGGCAGCTATTCCCAGAGAGTGTGGCTTCCCCTCTCCTGACACACCCAGGGGCGTCACATCTGCCTGGTCTCCACCTCTGGGTTCCCTTCCTTGGAGGCTATGCCCAGCCCTCATACCCCTGCTACCCAGGAGGAGGAAGAGCGAGACGAGAGTGGCTGCGAGGAGGAGGAAGGACGTGAGGATGAAGATGAGGACTCGGGCAGCGAGGAGAGCCTGGTAGACTCTGACTCTGACCCAGAGGAGAAGGGTGCGTGGGCCTGAGCTGGGTGGAAGGAGCCACCTGTGGCAGGTGACCAGGTTGGGGCTGCCAGTCAGAGCTCAATCCACAGAAAATGCAGATGCCCTTGATCCTGCTCTGCACATAGGTGCTAGGTGCCCTTTGTCACCACTGAGCATGTTCAGAGAGGTTTGCAACTCTCCCAAGTTTAGTCAGTGCCGAGCAGAGCACTGAATACAGGCCCAGCTGATGCCAAGAGCCAGCCCCTAAGTGGGACCGCCTGTCCCTTTTGCCAACTGTGGCCTTCAGTTCTACAAAGTGCTCTCAGTCATCTCACCCTCTTCCACCCAAGCAGGGTCCTATGTCATCTGAGACAGGCAGGTGTGGGGAGGATATTTAGCCAACCTACCCCTCAAACCCCAGCTCCTGGGCTCTGTTGTGTTTTTCAAATGTGTTGTCCCACCTGGCACCATTCTATTACCCAGCATGAGATTGCTACTTCTGGTCACTTTTGGTCACCTACCTCTGGTCACTGACTGATCCCAGTTGGCTAGAAGAAACCCCTCTTCCCCAAGAACGGTGCCTGCCTGAGGCTGGCTCTTCCTGGACCCCACAGAGGTAAACTTCCAGGCAGACCTGGCAGACCTGACCTGCGAGATCGAGATCAAGCAGAAACTGATTGATGAGCTGGAGAACAGCCAGCGGCGGCTGCAGACGCTCAAACACCAGTATGAGGAGAAGCTGATCCTGCTGCAGAACAAGATCCGGGATACGCAGCTGGAGCGGGACCGCGTGCTGCAGAACCTCAGTGAGCCCCAGGCCCTGCTCTCTGTGTCTTTGTTTGGCAAACCACGCTCAAGGGGAGACAGGTGGATGTTGGCCTCTTGGCCCAGCAGCGTGGGAAAGATGTCTAGAACTCCCCCACCCAAGCTCCTGGGATCTGCTTGCTTTTCTGAGGCTGCCTTTCAGATGTGTTGTAGTATTTTGGGGGACTTCAGGCCCTTCTGCTCTGGGCCTTTAGCTCACAGTTAAAAGTTCTTATGTCTAAGTCTGGTTCCTCTTCTCCATTTTGAATTCATCTTTTTTTTTTCTGACATCTTTTGTATTCAAACTCTTTAATCCTTTATACACCTAGGGGGCTGGGGAGATGGCTCAGTGGAATAAGCGCTTCCCTGGCAAGTGCAAGGGCCTGAGTTCAATCCCCGGTTCCGAAAAAAAAAAAAGTCAAAACCTTTATACACCTAGGCACATGAACATGATACCTTGCAGCCTTTCCTTCTGCATTCAGTTCCTTGAGAACAGTTTATTGGCTTCCTTCTCACATCCTGCCTCCTCATGCTGCTCCTCAGCCCACTCATCCAATTATGCATTCATTCATTCCTTCATCCGCCTGTTCAACAAACAGTTGTTGAACGCCTCTGTGGAGATGTTACTCTAGATGCTGACATCATTGGTGTGTGTAAGTCCCTGCTCTCTTGGAGTGTACCCTGTAGGGGGAGAGATAGGAACTTGGGATCTTTAGCATGTTAGATGGTAGCAAGTATTATTTTTTTAAGGTAAGAATGGATAGAGTGCTGGGGACTAGGTTTTTTAAAGGGATAATTATGGAAGACTTCATAGGGACGGTGACTTTTGAGCAAAGACCTGCAGGTGTCACAGAGCTGGGGCAGACTGAGCCACAGGAAGAACATCCTAGGCAGAAGGTACAGAAGATGCCCAGAACCTGGCTAGGTGTGTCCCTGGCATGTCAGTGAGTGACAAGGGCCCAGAGTGGCACAGATAATGTCAGTGCCTTTTATTCTAAGGGACATGAGAAGGTGTGGAATTTTAAGAGGAGTATGTGATATAAAATTTTAAAACATTATGGAAAGATCTTCCTGACTGCTACCTAAGAGATGCTGCTGATAACTTAGGAACAGTTACAAAGATCCCAAGATACAAAGATCCCAAGAGAGGTGGCTTGTGGAAGGGTGTGGCAAGAAGTGGTTGGATTTTGAGTATTTTACAGGTTGAGCTAGAGGATTTTGTTGATGCCTGGGTGGGGAAATGAAGGAGGCAGGAGCCACGGATGCCTCAGAGTCTGAGCCTCTGGCAAGGGTGACAATATTAACTGAGATGCAGGGTCAGGGTGGATTCAGGAGTTGGTTTGTACCTGTTCCATCTGACATGTCTTTTGACAAGTTCCGGTGGAAGAGTCTAGGGTGAAGAATCAGGTTATCCTCCTCTGCTGCAGCTCACATCTCTGTCTTCTCTTGCTAAGTCTTCCCCTTTCCACTGGCCCCACCCATTCTCTCCCACTGGATCATGGGTCAGAACTGAGCCAGCATGGGTGGGCTGCAGGACCTTCATGGGAAGCTGAGGACCAGGGGTTTGGAGATCTCAAGATGGAGCATCCCTTCACATTCCAATAGAATATCAGAGAAGGAAGGAGTGTGGGCACCTGCTAGTCTCATCTCCTCATTGTTCAAATGAAAAGATGAGACCAGAAAGGGTGGCTTGCCCGTGCTCACACAGTGAGGCTAGAACCCAGGCTGCTTACCTCCCCCATTGCTGAGCCCACACATAGCTGAGGCATGTGGTGCTGATGACCACCTCTTGCTGCCCTCAGGCACCATGGAGTGCTACACGGAGGAGAAAGCCAACAAGATCAAGGCAGATTATGAGAAGAGGCTACGAGAGATGAACCGGGACCTGCAGAAGCTACAGGCTGCTCAGAAGGAGCATGCCCGGCTGCTCAAGAACCAGTCGCGCTATGAGAGGGAGCTGAAGAAGCTGCAGGCTGAGGTGGCTGAGATGAAGAAGGCTAAGGTAGGCTGAGGGTGTGAGGAGCCAGAGTCTTAGAATCCATCTTCCATGTCAGAAATAATCAGTGCTGTCAAAGGTGGATTTTCTTCACAATGAACAGCTCTGCATCAGTCCTTTCCTGGCCACACACACTGTTGTTTTGGCCGAGTGCAGCCTCCAAGATACAGCAACCTACCCCCAAACGGGCTAGGTGCAGGTTGATGGGGAGGGGGCCCATTCTGCCCAGCACTGCCCCCTGTGGTGGGACGCCGCACCACAGTTGCCTCCATATGCAAGAAGCAAAGGTGAGAGGCCTCTGGCTGGGTGCAACTCATGTGGAATCAATGTATGTCATTACTGCTGTGACCGGGGTCTAGGCTGGTTATCTTGCATGCCTGGTCAGACCTTAGGAGGACCTCTTGAAAGGAGCCCAGTTGTCTTTCTCATTTTGGGTACAGGAAAGTGAGACTCAGAGGTCATCTCAGCTGCTAGGAAGTAGTTCTGGAATGCACGTCCGGTCCTCTGCTGTGGTTCTGCAGGGCACAGTGCCTGCCTTGTTTGCTTTGCTATGGCTTAGCTCATTCTCATCTCCAGTGCCCAGGAATTGCCCTGGTTCAAGGCTCAGATCTTGTGCTTCTAGTGTCAGTATGTTTGGGCTTCTACTGGCTTTGGGAACAGAGATGCAGGAAAGGGAGCTCTGCAGTTCTTTGGGCTGATGGGATAGGGATCTGCAAAGTAGGAGCCATCAGTAACTGCGGCCTCACTGCTGAGTCTGCTGGTGCTGACCATGTGCACAAGGAAGAGGCGATGCAGTGATGACTGATGTGACCCTTAGAGAAGGTGGACCTCCCAGCTGTCACTGGCCTGCCTCCTCCCTTGGGTAGGCCAAGCCTGGGACACAGGTCCATCAGTCTGATCAGAATGGAGAAGTCCTGCTCAATTATGCTCAGACCAGCTTCATCTGGACTGGCCATGAGGAGCCTCATTTTCACCTTCTGTTTCATTCACCCACTGGTGGATGTCACCGAGGCTTTAAGGTCCCACGGATTTGTCCGGGCCCCGAGCGCCCTCTAGTGGTACAGAATTGAAATGGGGAGCCGCAGCATACTCAACCTTGGTGCTTCTGCAGGGTGGCTCCAACCTGTCCTGGCCAGCTCCCACCTCAGCTGGCTATGGCCATGGCGTGCATCAAGAAGGAACATCCTCATAGGGTTCTGAAGCCTGAAAAAAATAATCTACTGCCCACAATATATTTGAAAGTCAGAAGGATCCAGGTATATTAGTTTGCTGATGCCCATCAGCACAGGCCCAGCTCCATCCACATGACTGTGCTCTCATGAGCACTGGGCTGGAAATCAGCCTACGGTCATCCTAGGGGTCCCCTATCAGGGGCCCAGGTTTTCCATTGGAGGGACAGAGAAAGCAGCAGCCAAGGATTATAACCAGATGCTGTGAGGGCCATTGTCTGAGGATCCCCCCCCCCCCCCCGCGCCTTTCAGCAAGGGGGCTTAGCGATCCACAGAGCTGATCTGGGTGGGGCTGCAGCTGTGTTTGGGGGCTCCTAAGGAAAGGCACACTGCCTTCGGCTGTAGAGCTGCAGAGCAATGCCGCTCTCAGGTTCCGCTTCAGCATGGTTATGTACTCACCCATCTTGAGACCATCCCCTCCATGGTGACCTCCAGAGTTCGGTCACACATGAAAGTTGGGCAGATGGGACTTTGGCCAAAGACACACAGATTTTGCCTTTGTAAGAAGCTGCTATACTAGAGTTCACAGTCCCACTATTAGCCAAGGGTTTCATTCAGCATTCCCAGCCCCGGTCCATTAGAAGACATTCACTCTGGACCCCCAGGTACCGAGCAGCGGTGAATCTGCCTCTGCTCTGTCAAGTCACCCTTTCCTAGCCTGCCCTCCCAGGGAGAATCTGACCCTGCCAGCCGCTAGCTCTCATGGGGGCTGCCTGCTTTCCTCTTTGAATATCTTTTCTTTCCTGACCGCAGGGCAAGGCAGGATGGTGATATTCCCCATAATGTCTTAGACCTTGGTGGCAGGGGAAGTCTCTGTTCTAAGAGGTAGGGGGCTCTCCTGCCCCCTATGCTGGAAAAGTGTCAGAGGGCCATGTATTCTGGATTTCTGTGTTTGGGGCACCAGGAAGAGAGGTAGATGCTGCAGGACTCAGTGTCAATGGCTTCCTAGCTCATCAAGGTATCTCCAGCCATGCTAATGGTTCTTTGTGTGCCTTGGTCAGACCTTGGTTAACTCTGGCATTTAGGCAGTGTACGCTTGCTGGGAACTGTCTTAGTGCCATCCCTGCCTGGGGCTGCAGGAAGAGATGGGCTGCAGAGCTAAAATGGCCTGGGCCCCGAGTCTGTCCATCCATCACTAGTTTTATGACTCTTAAGTCATTTTTTTCTGTCTAAGCCTCATTTCCTTGTTTAATAAGCAGGAACAATAATGCCTCTCTCCTATGATTGTCATGAGAGCAGCGCTGGCATGTAGCCAGTTCTCAATAAATAATGGTATTTTTTATTGCTGTCACTCTAAGTCTAGCCCTGGCACTCAGCCCTGACCTTCACCTCAGCCCTATTCCTAGCTGAGGCTGTCAGGAGGAACAAGGGTGACTTGCCTCTGGGCAACCTAGCCTGTCCTAGAATAGCCAGACCAGGATGGTGGCTTTGAGCGGTGGCCTTGTACAGTCGGAGCTCCTGAACCACTAGTCCAGCTGTGAGGCCACTCCTTTCAGCAGGCTGCCTAGGTAGTTTTGAGTCCTGCGGAGAGTGTGAACCCTCACTGCAAAGCCCTAGCCTGAGCTGCAGGCAGGCTCCCACCAGCATCCTCAGAGCCTGCCGCCCCCAGTGCACATGGGCCACTGCCCGGCCCTGTGGCCTTACTCTATTGCTTCTCCCTCCAGGTGGCCCTGATGAAGCAGATGCGGGAGGAGCAGCAGCGTCGGCGGCTGGTGGAGACCAAGAGGAACCGCGAGATTGCTCAGCTCAAGAAGGAGCAGCGGCGGCAAGAGGTGAAGGGCCCAGCAGACCCCACTCCCTGCTGGACTTGTGCTTAGAGCAGAGTGCAGCCTGAGGGAAGGGCAGGGTATGTGGCTCAGGTCCTGCAGAGAAGCGGGGCAAGGATGAGACCAAGAGATTTGTTTTGCAGGGACCCCTCTGTGGCCTCTGGGAAGGTAGTTCACGCTGGGTCCCATTTCATCAACAGTTTGGTAGCATGGGGTTCACCCTGTAGAGCTGAGTAGCCTGTGCCCATCCTGCAAAAAGGGTATCTTTGCCTGAGGGTGGATGACGCTCTCCTGTCTCTCTGACAGTTTCAGATCCGAGCCCTGGAGTCCCAGAAGCGGCAGCAGGAAATTGTCCTGAGGAGGAAAACCCAGGAGGTAAGCACTGTTAGGGAGCAGTGGCAGGCCCCTGCCTGGGCAGCTCACATGGTGTGTCCTCTCCTTGCGCTCCCTCAGGGCCCTGCCCCCTAGATATGGATGAGGGCAGCGTGCCCCAGTTCTGCTGGAGCTGGGAGGGGGAGGAACACCCGCTGCCTGTGGCTGTGGCTCTTCCTTCTGTCATTCAGCAAACACAGTCATGTTCGAAGTGTGTCAGGCCTGTGAAAAGGGCCTTGCTCAGCAAGAGAGTAAAGGGCACTGCGGACTGTCCCCAGATGCCTGAGCTGATCACTTTAAAAGGAGGGGCTCTCTCTTTTGCGTTCAGCTCACCTCAGACCACAATCTCCTGGCCCTTCTATGCCACAAGCCTAAGCCAGCACAGAGCAGCCCCCATCCTCCCTGGCTGGCCCTCCCAGGCCAGGCCTTTCTGTGCAGCTGCAGGCTGCCCAGCCCACCGATGCCTCTTCCTCAGGTTTCTGCACTGCGGCGCCTGGCCAAGCCCATGTCTGAGCGGGTGGCAGGGCGTTCAGGACCGAAGCCACCTATGCAGGATTCAGGAGCTGAAGTGTCGGCCAGCACCACCTCCTCTGAGGCAGAGTCGGGAAACCGCTCCGTCTCCAGCATTGTGCGCCAGTGGAACCGCAAAATCAACCACTTCCTGGGGGACCATCCAGCCAACACAGTCAATGGCACCCGGCCAGCGAGGTGAGGTGGCTGGTGGTGCCCTGGCCTGTGTGGACAGAAGATGGAAATGTGGGCAGGACCAGGGTGGGGCAGAGTGAAGCTCAGCAGGTACCAGCATCCCCAGGGCTGTGGCTCTGACTGGGGGCTCAGTGTAGCTGCAAAAGCTAAGAGTCATCACATTGCGCCCAATCACCTTTGCCTCTGCCACCCAGAAAGAAGTTCCTGAAGAAGGGGGCAAGCCAGAGCTTCAGCAAGGCTGCAAGGCTCAAGTGGCAGTCCCTGGAGAGGAGGATCATCGACATCGTCATGCAGAGGATGACCATTGTCAACCTGGAGGCCGACATGGAGCGGCTCATCAAGGTCAGCGCCTCCCCTTCTCTCCTGTCCTTCTAACACTTGTCCTCTGTCACCTCCAACTTCCAGTACCTCTCCTCTCCCCTCCTTATGCCCTGGGGGACCTTGAGGAAGTTCCTGGGGTGGAAGTTGTGTGTAGGGCCAGGCAGCACTGCCTGAGACCTCTCCCGTATCACTGTCCCTCCAGAAAAGGGAGGAGCTGTTCCTCCTGCAGGAGGCACTGCGGAGGAAGCGTGAACGGCTGCAGGCTGAGAGCCCAGAGGAGGAGAAGGGGCTGCAGGAGCTGGCTGAAGAGATGGAGGTGCTGGCGGCCAACATCGACTACATCAATGATAGCATCACTGACTGCCAGGCCACCATCATGCAGCTGGAGGAGACCAAGGTACCTGCAGAACCAGGCCTGGCCTGAACACAGCTGGGAGCCATGGGTGGGCCCTGCAGCACCAGGTGACAGAGTTCCCTGCTTTCCGGTCCCAGGAGGAGCTGGACTCCACAGACACGTCGGTGGTCATCAGCTCCTGCTCTCTGGCCGAAGCCCGCCTCCTGCTGGACAACTTCCTCAAGGCGTCCATTGACAAGGTGAGTGGGCAGCTCTCCTACACAGGGCCCCCAAGACGGATGCCTCACAGAGGAGCACACAGGCCTGGCTCCTCCTCACTTGCGTCACTCACAGGCTGGGACAAGCCTCTAAGCTCTGAGCATTGGATTCTATAGCTATAAAACTGGGGAGATGAGCCAGGCTTGTCGCTGGTTGCGTGGTTAAACAAGACGATGCATGTACAGGGCTTGGCATGGCACTTGGCACACGGTGGGGCCTCAATTAGAGGTGACCCTGTGTGTCTGGTACAGGCCCATCCACAGCAGGGCTGGGCTTGTGTCTGAGGGTGGGGCTGTGCATGTACATCAGGGTAGAGGAGCAGGAGCCAGGTGGACCAGTCTGCTCAGGAGGGTTTATGGCAGGACGGCAGATGTCCCTTGGGGCTTCTTGGATTCTTCTCTGTCTCTGGCTGAAGGTTATGCTTCCTGCTGTCCTGGGGCTGAGTCTTGGGGACAGTTGCACCTACTGAGACTGCCCATGTGACTCCTGTCAGCTCTGTTCTTATCCCAGGCCACTGAATTTAGTGTGCCCATAGCAAAGTACTACAAAGAACCCCAGTGACCGGGCAGCTTTTGTCTGGAGGCTGGCAAACCCAAGGTCAAGGTGGTGGCAGGGTGGTTTCTTCAACAACCCTCTCCATGGCAGTGATGGTCACCACCTCCTCCTGTGTTGTCACACAGCCTTCCCTCTGTGTGCTTCTCTATCCTGATCTTTTCTCATAAGGACATATATTAGATTAGGGTCCTGCCATATGACTTCATAGTACCCTATTTAGTTCTTTAAAGGCCCTAACTTCACATAATACATTCTGAAGTAACAGGAAGATTAGGAATTCTATGTAAGAATTTGGGGGGACACACATTAGACCATAATAGGGTGTATCCCAAGGTGATCTCTACGAATGTAGAAATGGTAAGGGAGCTAAAGAGAATGAGCGTCTCCCAAGACCAAGAAGGCTAACTCCAGGCCTTGCCCCCTGCCCTCAGGGGCTGCAGGTAGCCCAGAAGGAGGCCCAGATTCGGCTACTGGAGGGACGACTGAGGCAGACAGACATGGCGGGGTCCTCCCAGAACCACCTGCTCCTAGATGCCCTGCGGGAGAAGGCCGAGGCACACCCCGAGCTGCAAGCCCTCATCTACAATGTGCAGCAGGGTATGTGTAGGCATGGAGAAAAGAGTCATGCCTCCCAGGGCCCCTTGTTCTGACCCCAGGTGGTGTGGGAAGTCATTTTCCCAGAATTCCCCAAGAGCCTGGTCTGATCCCAGTGGGTAAGATGCAGGAGGGCAGCCTTTGTCTCTTTCCCACACTCCACAAGGTCTCTCAGATCTTCTTCCCTTCCTCTCTCTTTTCCTCCCAGAGAATGGCTATGCCAGCACTGATGAGGAGGTCTCAGAGTTCTCTGAGGGCAGGTGAGTCCCACCTGGGAGTGAGACACTGGGGACCTGGGCTGCCATAAGGTCGCAGGGCTGGCCTGGGATTGGGGGCCTTTGAGACTCACAAGTCTTAAGATCCAGAGAACCAGAGGACAGGCTATGAGGATCCTAAATTCTGTTTCTTCCTCAGCTTCTCCCAGTCATTCACCATGAAAGGCTCCACCAGCCATGATGACTTCAAGTTCAAGGTGAGCTCGGTCTCACAGCCTGATCCCCATCTCACCATGCTCTGACCCTAGCCTCAGCCCTGCTCTGACATTGCAGGAGCTGGGACAGAGGTGCCAAAAAGGACTGACCCTGGAGTTGGGGGCAGTACCCAGGTGTGTAGCCTTCCACTCGCTCATTCTTCTGAGACAGAAGGAAGCCACTGCTGGCCTCTGCTTCCTAGAGAGCTCACCATATCTGGATGCCCCACTTTGAACGACTCTGCTCTTGCCCTTTGTCAACTTGCCCTAACCTTCTTGACTTGGTTATTTAGTCTGCATAGTTGATTCAATAGTGTGGGAGTTAACCATAAGGGAGTGTACATGGCAGCAAGGGATCAGTTACTAGACAGAACTGAGTTATTAAAAAGAGGAAGGGAGAGCTGCAGACAGAGTTTGGGGTTATTGGATGAGCTGGTGACCAGGAAGAGGCCCATGTGGGCATTCTGTGTTTTGTATACTCTACCAAAGGACAGTAAAACAAGCTTAGTTTCTGTGGATTTCAGCTCAGGAGACAGTCTCTGGTGATGTCTTTGGATCCTTCCCTGGGCTTCTCTTCCCTAGGCCAAGCAGCATAGTTTTCCTCCTTAGGATGCCACTGCTCCCTAATTCAAGCCGTCCCCTGTTGGCGAGTTGCTCCATGCACCCTTCTATCCTCAGGGGGAACCCAAGCTGTCTGCCCAAATGAAGGCTGTGTCGGCTGAGTGCCTGGGGCCCCCACTGGACATTTCCACCAAGAACATCACCAAGTCCCTGGCCTCCCTTGTCGAGATCAAAGAGGATGGAGTGGGCTTCTCCATCCGTGATCCCTACTACCGGGACAAGGTCTCCCGCACTGTCAGCCTGCCCACCCGGGGCAACACTTTGTAAGGAGGGGAGCAGAACTATAGGGTTAGAGGATTGGGGGAGGGGGCAGGGATAGGGGCTGGCCTCACTGGACCCTTCCATTCCAGCCCCCGGCAGTCTCGAGGCTCAGAGACATCCCCTCTGACCCGGAGGAAATCGTATGATCGAGGGCAGCCCATCAGGTGAGAACATGGTCCAGAATCTTCTCCAGAGTCATTCCTGGTCTAATCCTTCAATAATTGTGTGTCTGTGAGGTTCTGCTTATAGTTCACTTTAATGTAAGCTTTCTAATCTGGGCCAGCAGGCCATGAGTCACTCAGCTTTGCCCCTGATCCCTTCCTCACCCTGTCAGGGGTGAACTCAGGGGAGATGATCTCCATTAGGCACCTGAAATCAGGTAGCTAAGCCACATGCCGAAAACTATGCGCTAAGGTGTGAGCAGCGTAGGCTGCTTATAGTCATGGGCCATTGTTCTGAGATACGTCAGCCTCTTTTCATGATCATGGGTCCTTGGGAGCCTTTGCTCCCTTGAAGGCCTAATGTTTTGAAAGGAGTAGTGGAAACTCAAAGAACCAGAGAGGTCTGGTCAGAACAGCTGAGTCTCCAGGGATCAGGTACACATGGCCAGGCCCTGCAGAGCCTGTGCACATGGCAGTATGACTGTGGGGGTCCTCTGGTCATGCGCTTAATTATCGCGGGCTTGGTACCTCGGTCAGGCCACACAGCTAAACTGGGAAGTGGGGCTATTCTTGCCCTCTGACTTGGTGGGAGGCAGGAGGAGGACCCATACCAGCTCCCAGCCTCCTTCCTCTCAGGAACCTGGGCAGACACCCATGACATTGGCTTGCAAAGTTGCTTTGGTGGAGAGGAGCTGAAAGGACATCTGTATATCTGTTCATTCGCCTGTGAACTGGGAGAACACACTTAATTGTGGCTTGAAGTTGTGGGTCGAACCCAAGGTGGTACTCTGAAAGGAGGGAGGATTTGGCTAAACCAAATGACCACTTTTTAAAGAGCGGGATCTGAGAGTGTTTGCTTACTTAATTGCTTATTTGTGGTACTGTTGATTGGACTGAGAACCTTAGCACTGAGCTACACCCTCCACACATTTTTAATTTTTAGTTTAAAACAGGGTCTCACAGTTGTCCCAGGCAAGGCTCAAACTTGCAGTCTTCCTGTCCTAGCCTTCCGGAACACCGGGTTAGCAGAGGTGTGCTGCGGGCAAGTTTTATTTATTCATTCACTCACTAACTTACTTATGTGGTCCTTGAGATCAAACCCAGGGTCTTGTGCAAGCTAGAAAGTGCTACACTACGGGATACATCACCAGCCTGGGCAGTGCTTCAGTACTGTTTTTGAGAACCATTGTAAAAATCAAACCACCATCAGAAAGAACAAAAACACAATGAAACATGACACAAAAGTGTTCATGAGCAGGATACTTGTTTCTAGCATCAGAGCTGAAACGACCTTGGTGAGAAACATGTATAGAGTGACTGAAATTTTTCCATGCAAGTCCAAGGGAGTGTTGGTGTGAGAATTTCAGTGAGTAGGTACATTCCCAAATATACGCTGCATGGATATGAGGATGGAGTTTTTAGAAGAACATCTAAGGAGCTGGAGTGGCAACTGAGCTCCGCAGTGGCTATGCAGCAGGCCTGGCCTCATGGGCTTCAGGACCAAGACAAGGTATCAGGTCTGTGGGCAGACAGGCAGTCACTAACAGACAGTGTTTTCTGTCCCCACTCACCAGGTCCACAGACGTGGGGTTCACACCTCCCTCCTCCCCTCCCACTCGACCTCGCAATGACCGCAATGTCTTTTCTCGCCTTACCAGTAATCAGAGCCAGGGGTCAGCGCTGGACAAGTGAGAGCATGGCTGGGGGTGGCCAGGGAGGGCCCCAGGGAGGGAAGGGAGCTGGCGGGCCAGGAGAGGCTGGAGGCGGGTGGGAGTAGTTGGCAACCCCCAACCCTGCTAAGTCACAAGGCCCTGGCACTCCTTGCCCTCTGTCCTGATGTGGGCATCCCTTCCTCTAAGCATGCTGGGGCCTCAGGAAGGAAGGAAGGAAGGAAGGAAGGAAGGAAGGAAGGAAGGAAGGAAGGAAGGAACCAAGATGGGGGAGGGCAAGCCAAGGTGGTGACGGCTGTGTGGGACAGACGACCAGAAGTCGCCCCAGAACTGCCCCTCTGCCCCTGCTGAGTCTGCTGTTCTCTGAAGCTCCTTCCTTCAGCTTCAGCCACTGCCCTAACCAACCACAAACACTTTGAACATATCTCAGGTTCCTTGTACATTGTCCAGCTGACAGAGCCAGTCTAACCTGTACCTAAAGTTCTTGTTATCAAACTATAATTGCTCATTGTAATTTCTGTTAGCAATCCCTGCACTTAAAGGTGCCTTCACCTTGCTTTACCACCTGCTCCTCCATTCATGATTCATTTGAACTCTAAATCCACCTTGAACATTGTCTTTCACCTAGAAAGTAGCTGATCAGAGCCCAGAATCCCTCCACCTTCCCTGTGTCCCGAACAGTGGGACTCCACCTGGGGGAAGGGAAGGACCCTGTCCTCCTTGTGTTCCTTTCTGTGCACCCCTAAACAGCTGGGCCAACCCTGGCCCTTTGTAGCTTCTTAAAAATCCCCTGTACTACAAGGGACAGCAATGCCATGTCCTCAGAAAGTGCTTGTCCTGTAGCTAGTGCTGATGTTTGCCCTGCCCCGCTGCTCACAGCAATGCCTCTCCATGAATGCTAAGCCTGGGTGGCAGACCCGGTACCCTGGAGCCCTCCTTCCCCGAAATCCACCCCAGCTCTGGCCTTGGCTGCACTGTGGACAGGGCCCATGCCTCCATCGGTTGTACTTCCCCCTGTGTCACTACAGCTGCCAGGGAGGCTCCCTTTTATCTGAGGGTTCAAATCACAGACTGATCTCCTTGGTCCTAGCCAGCAGCCTAGATCTTGGGACCCACGTGTGGTACAAGCTGGCTTCTATGCATGGTCCCAGTGGGCTCCTTTGGGGACAGTGGGCCCTGAGGAAATCCTAGAAGAAGCCAGCTGCTAGGGAAGGGTACAAGCAGCCATGGCTTCCCTCAGCCCTGGGCAGGTACCAGCATTACAGGGCTGGGGCAGCCAGAGAGTTTGGAAGCAACAGGGAGCCCCAGAACCATGTCCCCAAGTATAAATCTGGTCCCCCATCTCCTGTGCCCCTCCTTGTTCCCCACCTGCTAGTGAGGGGCCCTGGTGGCTCACTCCTGGGAAAGTCTTCCTGCTCGCAGGTCAGCCCATCCCCTTCTCTTTCCCTTCTCTCCCCAAAGGCCCTCCTCCTCTGCCTTTCTCTGCTCAGCTCCTCAGTGAGAATAACCGCCCTCTGACCTTCTGCCACTGCTGCTGCCACGCCACCTCTGCCACCCCTGTGTGTTTTCCTCTCTCCCCTAATCCAGCTAATTTTCTGCCCTCCCCAGGTCTGATGACAGCGACTCCTCTTTGTCGGAGGTCCTGAGGTACACACAGAATGTCTCTCGTGTTTGGTCTTCTCTTTCTTCTCTCTTTCTCTGACTCCTGCTGCACCGGCCCTCCCCGCTTGTATACCTGTCCTTAGCATGCGGCCCGTCCTTCCCCAGCCCCTGCCTTCCTCTCTCCCATGCCCCTCCTGACACTTCTTCCTGCCCATGGTTCCTCCTGCCCATGGTTCCTCCCGCCCAAGGTGGCCATTTGGCCTCTGACTGCACCAGGCCTGGCTGGAGCTGGGGGGTTGGGGTGGGGGCACAGTTGCTTGTGGCTAGCCTTGTGTTCTTTTCCCCACTGGCCTGGCCAGAAAGTAGCAGAGCATGGAAGCCTGGGGTGGCTGGGGCCAGAGCTGAGCCATGTTGAGTGAGCAGGAGAAAGGCCCTGGATGCCCCAGGGACCAGCTGGGCTGCTCTTTGAGTGATGCTGGGTGGTTTGGTGACTGCACAGGGTCCTTGTGACTTAGCTGTGCCAGGGGGTGAGCCTTTCAGATCTTGTCTGGGAGAGGGCCACCCAGGGTGGCAACACCTCCTGCCCACATCTCTTGGTACAAGGATATGCAGGCATCCCCTCTCTGCTCAGCCTGGGGGACAAGCAGAACCCAGTCCCCACAGCCAGCCTAGCACAACACTCTCCAACAGCAAACCAACCTGCCACCTGCAGGGCCCAAGCCCCTGAGCAGCGGCTGTCCATGGCTGAGCAGCACCCACTCTCCCGCAGCTCTCTGCCCCATGCTCCAGTCCAGCGCAGGGTGTTCATTAATCCTGAGCAGCAAGCTTTGCCACCAGGAGTCATAAGCCACCGTGGACATCCCTGCTCGTCTGAGCCTGTGCTTTCCTTGTTCTCACAGCAGTCTCAGGCTAATGGCCCAGACAGTGTGAAGCAAGGCCAGCTTGGGAGCTGCTTGTGCCTAGACCTGGCTGCCAGCAGGTTCCCAGGCCAAGGCCATAGGGCCTTTGCAAAGGTGCTGCAGGGGGACGCTGGCCATTTCCAGTTCTTCACCATTTCTAGCTGTCAGGAACAGATTGCCTTTGAAAAAGAACTAGATTTTCAGACAGGCTCTCATTCCAAAAGACCCTCACTGAGAAAAAAAAAAAAAAAAATTGTCCTCAGAGCCTCCAGGAAATAGGTGTCAAAAAGTACGTGCCCTCGCTGCGCTTGCCCACTCCTGCTCTCAGGGTCCTAGAGAGCAAGGAGGTGCCATTCCAGGTCCAAAGGGCCCTGACCTCCTAACCTCAGGCTGAGCTGGGGCCCTAAAGGGTTCTGACCCTTCCTAAATGGCAGACACAGCTCTGACCACGCTGATCCAGCAGGCGCCTGTGGGAGGGATGTGTGCATGCCCTGTGTGCGCGTGCCCTGTGTGCGCGTGCCCTCACGTGCAGGTCTCACCTTTGGGAGCCCTGCGCCCCACAGGAAATGGAAGGATGGTGGTCAGGTGATGGCCTGAGTGTCTCTGTTCTCACCCCTTACACTTGCTGATAGAAACAGCATGAAGATTCTGATGGGTGCTGCAGGAACTGACGCCAGCCCCGGGCTCTGCAGGGCCTGCTGGAGCTGGGGTGCCTTTATGTCTTAGATTTCTGGATCAGGTGGCATCAGATGGGACCTCCTCATGTGTAGGGCCCATGCTTGCTTCTCCTTCTGTGCATGGGGCTTCTTATTCCCATAAGTGCTTGAGATAGTAACTACAGATTTATATAAACATAGGCCTTAGCCTGGTGTGCTGGTACACACCTGTAATCTCAGTACTCGGAGGCTAAGGCAGGAGAATCCCAAATTCAAGCCCAGCCTGAGAATTTAAGTGACTTAGTGAGATTTTGTTGCACTAAGGGTTAGAGATATAGCTCACTGTAAAGGCCGTGTTTTATCATCAGTACAACAGATAGGCTGGTCAGGGATATAGCTCAGTGGCACAAGTGCCTAGCTGGCAAGTACAAGGTCGAGTTTGATTCTTGGTACAAAAAAAACAAAACAGGCTGTTCTCACCCTGCACAGAATTTCCCACTCAGGCCTCGGTGGACTCGGGCCAAGAGTCTGTCATGAGGCCCTCATCCTGTACTGCCCCAATCCTCTCCTGCTCCTCGATAAACCTGGCTACAGCATCCCTGGCTGATGGTTAAACTCTCTCCCTCTCTCCTGGGAAGGGGCATCATTACCCCCGTCGGAGGAGCTAAGGGTGCTCGGACAGCCCCGCTGCAGTGTGTCTCCATGGCTGAGGGCCACACCAAGCCCATCCTCTGCCTGGATGCTACGGACGAGTTGCTTTTCACAGGGTCCAAAGGTAGGTGGCGGCCCGAAAGGTCAGGTAGGTGGAGGGTCTCCCACTCACCCAGACTCCCCTTGCCAGAGTGGACGGAGATAGACCCAGCAAAGAGCCACAGGAGGCGTGGCTCAGGCGGCCCACTTGCCCCGCCCTTATCTCCTGATTGGCTCGTGTCTCCTGCCACACACAGCCTGGCCGGCCCTCCTCAGACCTGACCTGCAGGCTCCGCCCAGCGCTCCCTTCCAGATCCCAGGGGCCCACCCCATCTTTTGCTCATCTCGGTCCCGCGACACCACTGCTCCAGTGACCTCACCCAGCACCTTCAGCAGCAGGTTGACAGCACAATCCTGTGTCCCCTGTTGATGCAGGAGGATCGTAAATTCAAGTTCTGATCAGCTTAGCAAGACTGTCTGAAAATTAAAAATAAAGGATGGGGGATAGGAACGTAGCTCAGTATCACCCCCTAAAAAAAAAAAAAAGGATGAAGAAATAGAAATTTGACAGCCAGAAAAGTACAAGTCTGTATAGAGCCAGGTAATAGAAACATAAGCATTTGTGTATCTCAGAAGGAGAGGTAGCTGTCGATCAAGCCAGAACTGACTGATCCCAAGGTTTCCCTGTAAGATGTGCTTGGTCACAGGGACAGGTGCCAAAAGCTGAGGAATTGTATTTTAGCTCAGGTCTCACCTTGACTGTGCTCACTCACGCAAGTCAGTCTGATCTAGGGCCCTAGCCAACTGCTTACCCCGAGTTTGTTAGCAGTGCTCCTGTACGCGGTTTTCTCTCCCTCTGACTTGAGCATCTGCCTTCTGATCTCTGTCACTCCCTGCTCACCCTGGCAGCCCTGTAGGGTGCGCTGCCTGCCCCCACAGGCTCACATCACTCTCCTCCTCATCTCCCACAGACCGAAGCTGCAAGATGTGGAACCTGGTCACTGGACAGGAGATCGCAGCTCTCAAAGGCCACCCTAACAATGTGGTCTCCATCAAGTACTGCAGCCACTCAGGGCTTGTGTTCTCCGTGTCCACCTCCTACATCAAGGTGTGGGACATCCGGGACTCTGCCAAGTGCATCCGCACGCTCACGTAAGTGCCTGCTCCCTCGGCATGGCCCACTGGGGGCTGTGACAGGCTACTTTGGGGCAATGCTTCCCAGCCCGAATGGAAGAGCCTCTCAGCAGAGCCTGGCCATGGTATGAGATTCCTTGATTGAGGACAGTCTCTGGGGCCGCAGTCTGGTGAGGCTGGGGCCTGCCTGCCCCCCACCTTTGCTCCAGCCTTCTAAGTCTTAGTCTTTGAGATGTGTGGGGTATGACCCTCTTCCCAGAAAGAGGTACTGGGAAGCAAAGTGAGACCCCCTGCAACAGTCATGTTTTATCTCTACATGGGCTTGGTAAACCACAGTCTGATATTTAATCTGACCCTTGAGAAGTAGAATCAGGTTTTTTTAGTGTAGTATTTTGTGCCTGTAATGGCAGATACTTCCATTGTACAGTTATTTGAACTCACAGAACATACACCACCAGGCATGAGCTCCGGTGTAAATCATGGGCCTGAGTGGAAAGTGTGTCCATATAGGTTCATCAGTTGTGATGCATGCACCACTGTGGTGTGTGGTGTTGATAGCAGGCAAGGCTATGTGTGTTGGGGAAAAGAAGGACACAGAAAATGCCTGTGTCTCCCACTCAGTGTTTCTATAAAGCTAAAACTGATCTTTAAAACCAAGACAGCTTAGGAGACAGTGAAACAATGGGTATTATTTCCTCTTTTCATAGAGAGAGAGAGGTGAAAGGATTTCACAAGATTCAGGCTCCTGCCCTGATTTTACAGGCTTTCCATGCCTGCGCAGTCGCCCCTGCAGGGCACACTGGACGCATCTCACTGTGGTCCCTTGCCCCTGTTAGTCAGTCAGAGAAGGTTTCCTGGAAGGTGTGGGGCACCTGGGCTGGCCTGACTGAAGTTTGATGGATTTCCTGGCCCACAGGGAGGGACAGTTTTGACCTCTGGCTTTACTCTTCCTCTGGGCAGGTCCTCAGGCCAGGTCATCTCAGGCGATGCCTGTGCCGCCACCTCCACGCGTGCCATCACCAGTGCCCAGGGGGAGTACCAGATCAACCAGATGGCCCTCAGCCCTTCGGGCACCATGCTGTACGTTGCCGCTGGCAACGCTGTGCGCATCTGGGAGCTCAGCAGGTCAGTCCTGGATCTCAGAGTGGGATGACCACCCCAGGACAGCTGCCTTCTGTGAGGCTGAGCTGCTGGCTCTGAGACCTCTGGGGTTCTGGGAAGCTTAAGTCTGGATTCTTGTTGGGGGGGGGGTTCTGGCCAGGCCCGTTTGTTCTGGAACAGATACCCTCCTCACCCAGGGTCCCCCACAGCCCTCCACCCCTGGCCAGCCTTCTTCCCATTGCAGGTTCCAGCCCATTGGCAAGCTCACTGGTCACATTGGCCCCGTGATGTGCCTGACGGTCACCCAGACTGCCAACCAGCATGACCTTGTGGTGACTGGTTCTAAGGACCACTATGTTAAGGTACCTGAGGCCTCTGGCCCCTGAGGCCTGGCTGGGGATCCTTTCTTCTCTCTTCCATCTTTATCTTCTGTTGCCTTCAGAAGACTCATGGAAATAACTAGGATTTTTGCTAAAGAAAGCACCAAAGAAGGCAGAAAGGTATATGCAGAGAGCTGCAGGATGCAGCATTGTTTTATAAATGCAGGAAAATTAGAAGCAGCCTAAATGTTTATGGGTAAATGGAAAATCCACTGAACAGGATGAAGGCCGACTATTAAAATGATAAATAGGGTCCAGTGTGGTGGTACATGCCTATAATCCTAGCTCTTGGAAGGCTAAGGCAGCAGGGTAACTGTGAGTTCCAGGACAGCCTGGGCTATGTAGCAAGATCCTATCTCAAAAGACAAAACAAAAATGGTAAATAGATAGCTGGACTTGTTGGCACATGCCTGTTATCGCAGCATTTCTGGAAAGCTGAAGGGTCACAAATTTGAGCCTCGCATGGGTGACTTAGTGAATTAGTAAGGCCCTGTCTCAAAATAAGGAGCTGAGATTTAGCTCAGCATGAAGGCCCTAGGTTCACTCCCCAGTACCAAAGGAAAAAAAATAAAAATAAAAATAAAGCAAAGCAAGGAGATAAATAAGGAGGAATGGGGCAAAGTGCGCAAACAGCACTAATTTCAGTTGCTGCCTGGTGGTGCAGGCAGAAACTGTGTGCGATTAGGAGCCAGATGAAAGCTGTGCAAGGGAAGTGTGTGAGGAACGATGGTGAAAATTTGTACCGCAGTGCCAAGGCCTGGCCCCTGCCCCCCTCCCAGATGTTCCAGCTGGGCGAGTGTGTGACAGGCACCATTGGCCCCACCCACAACTTCGAGCCCCCACACTATGATGGTATTGAGTGTCTGGCCATCCAGGGAGACATCCTGTTCAGTGGCTCCAGGGACAACGGCATCAAAAAGTGGGATCTGGAGCAGCAGGAGCTTATCCAGGTAGGGCAGAGGGAAGGGCAGGGGAAGGGGAAGGATGGGCAGGGCAAGGCAGGGTGGGCCAGGCTAGCCCAGAGCTCCCCAAGCATGCTGTCCCTGCCCCTACCCCCTGCAGCCTCCCCTGCTTCTGCAGGTCCCCTTGGGCATCTGCACTCAGCCCTTGGGTTTAAAGTGAAGCCCATGGGCACCCTTCCCAACAGCAGTCCCATTGTCCTGATGCATTTGAGGCTGAAGTCCTCTCCACCAGAGCAGAATCTCAGGTCTGTACCTGGGGGCCGAGTGAGAAGGCCCAATCTCTGAGCCCCAGTCCAGGCACCGCACTGAGAGACTGCCTCCTGGCTCACAAGGGAGGCCTGTCCCCAGGGTCTCTAGAAAGGCCAAGGCAGCCCAGTGACACCCACTGCCAGCAGCAAGCTTGTCCTCCTGAGACCCCAAGACTGGTCCCCCCACCCTCTTCACATCTGCCTGCCCTTACCAGCCCCTATCCATCCCACTGCAGCAAATCCCCAATGCACACAAGGATTGGGTGTGTGCCCTGGCCTTCGTCCCAGGCCGCCCCATGTTGTTGAGTGCCTGCCGTGCGGGTGTCATCAAGGTCTGGAATGTGGACAACTTCACACCCATCGGGGAGATCAAGGGCCACGACAGCCCCATCAATGCCATTTGCACCAACTCCAAGCACATCTTCACAGCCTCCAGGTGGGTGCTGCACAGAGGGGTTGCCTCTGCTCCTGCCATTTTCCTCGGGTGGGCAGGACAGTGGGGAGGCTCAGGTAGTGACCCACAGTGCCCTCCTTCCTGTGCCTGGCCAGTGTGCCAGATGGGAGCAGGGAGGCAGTCAGAGGAGCAGGGAGATGCTGGGCCCTAGTCAGGGCTTGCCCTCTGTCTCCACCCTGTCCCCGCCCCACCCAGATGCTCTCAGACCCCAGAGCAGTCCCACTGCCCGCCACAGACCACAGCTCCTGAACCCTGGATCTGGTCCCCTGTGCAGGCAGTGCCCAGGCCCCCAGTCCCAAGGGTGCTACTCAGACGGTCTCTTCTTTTCCTTCTTGTTCCGACCATGTCCTTCCTCTCCCTCCCCCATCCCATGTCCTCCTCCTCTCCTCTCTGCCTCCACCTCTCTCCCCCCACAGTGACTGCCGGGTAAAGTTGTGGAATTACGTCCCTGGACTCACCCCCTGCCTTCCTCGTCGGGTCCTGGCCATAAAGGGCCGCGCCACCACCATGCCCTGACCCTCCCCATCTTTCCCCATCACCTCTCTTGTTCTTTCCCTCTTTCCTTTTCCCTGTCTTTCCCCACTTCGATCTGAGCTGCTTCTTGACGGTATGAGATTATTTTACTCTTTCTTCCTCCTCTCCCTTCATGTCCTGCTTGGCCCAGAGAGATGGCCCTCTTTCAAGCATGGATAGAAGCCATGGCCTAGGAGCGGGGTACCAGTAGCAGAAAGCAGAGGGAGGGGAGCATTCAGTCCTGGACAAAATAAAAACAGCAAAAGGAGAACCCAGGAGTAGGACCCCTTGGGTGCCCCTGCCCAGCACGCTTGCCCCACAGTCCGCCCTCCCTAAGCAGTGCCTGCCTCTCTGTCCCCACCACAGGTGGGATGGGGGGCTCAGCCCACCCGTGACGTGTAGGGCAGCCAGGTCAGCCCACTTTGAAAGCTGACCACCTCTTTCTCTGTCCTCTCTGCCAGTGACCTGACAGTGAAGTTTTGGAGCATACGGCGGTTCCCAGAGGCCCACCCTCGGAGCTAGGTCAGAAGGGTGCCTGGACCTCTGCCCCAGCAGCCCGCGCAGCATGGAATGGAGGCTGTAGCCAACCAGATGGGGAGCTGCCCAGGGCACAGAGGGTGTGGCCCCTCCTGCTCCACTTCCTCTCCCCCGGACTTCCCACAGGATAGGCTCCCTGTCCTCCCCTGCCTCTCAGGAGCCTCTTGGTGAGAGAGGTTGGGGAGGAGTTAAGCTGTGAAGCCAAAGGCATTATCCCCTCCTCTCTCTCCCAGGCCATTCCCTGGCCTCCCCCTCCGAAAGCCAGGCCATGGTGTCTCCTGCTGAGCCGGCCCTGTCCTGTGTTCCCCACTGTTGTCCCAGGGTGGGGCCCAATAGGAAGGTAAAGTAGCCCCGGCCCCATGCTACCCCTCTGATGAGCTGGCCTCTCCTCCATCCTACAGCCCAACACTGGAGCCACTGCACCTGCATCTGACCCTACAAGGTAGTCAGTCCTCAGGTAACCATGGAGACCAGGCACAGGCAGCTGGGCCTGCAGTGGACCCTGAAGCCTATGTCACCAACAGCTGATTCCAGCAGGCCCCAGCTTTCCTTGGCAGCCCTTTCCGGTAGGGCCATGGAAGAGCTACTAGAAAGCCCCTTTGGGGAGATGGTCATGAATTTAGTTAGTTATTATTTTTATTTTTTCCTGTTGCCTCCTGGAAACTGACTTGAAGTTTCTTCCCACATCTTCTGTCCTTCAACCCCTAGGGGTCTGCTCCTATGACACTCGGAGCCCACCTCCTCTGTTGGCTTTGCTTTGTAGAGGAGGGGAATACCTGCTTCCACACTCTGCAGCTCCAGCCTAGCCCAGACTGTGCCCCTGGGGACCCTTCTAGTGCACCCCTAGCAACTAGGCTGCCTGATGCTTCAGTGCCTTCCTCAGCCCAGGCCTGGCCCCCTGCTGGGCAGCCTTACACCAGCCATGCCCTCGGTGCCGCCTGTGTCTTCTCACAGGTCTCCTGCCCTCTGCCCCTAGAAGAGGAGTGCGCCCCCTGCAGCCCAAGGCCAGGGAACCCCACCCCCAGAGGCTCATGTGGTCACGTAGGAAGCAGCTTGAGTCAGCCATGTTTTCATCATCATTGGGGGCAGGGAGTCTCTTCAGCTTTTTTCCTGCGGTTATTCGGGAGACTCATTTTCGAGCCTTAACCCAAAGCATAGTGCAAGGCCCTTCCCTTTAGGAGATCAGTGGTAAGGAGGCAGTTGTCAGTTCTTGGAGCCTTCCTTTCCCCTGGGGCTGTGACCTCACGCCTCCAAGCATGGGGCTAAATCAGTGATCGAGTGCCCCCTGTCTGAGTAACTCTGGATTTACAGGGAAGGATCTCAGAAGGGGCTGGCTCCATCCCTTGTCCTAGGCTTTGCCCCAAGCAACGGCCACACTGGTCTTGGGCTTCTCAGCCTCTGTCTGGGAACCAGGAGTCCCTTCTCTGTTCAGAAGACATGGTGACTTTTGAACTTTCCAGCAGTGCCGTTGTCTCTGCCCACAGCTTATTTTTGTGTGGCCAGGGACCTTGGAGCCTCCCCTGGTATGGGAGGGTCAGGCCCCGTGAAGGCTGTGTGGGGCTGTTCCTTCCTTGGCGCTACCCCAGAGGCTGAAGAGGTCGGCCTGCCTGTGTGTGGCCTCTGCCAGCTGTGACGTTAGGTCTGATCAGCCAGTGTCGGGACGACCTGCCTCGAATGCTGGTCTTCTGGAACCAGAACAGTCTGTCTGCACTGACTGCAAACACTTCTTCCTCTGCCGGCTGCCCCAGGCTTGCTGGGCAACCCCTTTCATGTTCAGAAGTGATCACCATCCTCCTTTCCGGCCCCATCCAGCCCTGCTCCCCGAACGGAAAGCTTTGACCTTGCACCCTGTAAGAATGACCCGTCTGCATGACTGTTTACAAACTACAGAAACACATGAGATTTGTGTCCTCCTGCCCTCCCCCATGGGCTGGGGATGCCCCAGCCTGGATTGACTGTATTGTAGCTTCAAGGCCTGTCCTCGCACAAAGTGTGGGCTTATGGCCTCGAGAGGTGCTCTTCGTCATTGCCCGCTGTCAGCCGTCTCTGATGGGCCACTACCTCACGGCAGGGCTGACTCCCCTGTCCCTGCGAGTATCGATACTCTAAACTTGAAGTCCTTTGGGATCCCTGAGCCTGGCATCCCTAAGCTGCTCTAAGCTGTGCTGCACGAGCACTGGGGCCTCTGCCCACACTTCTGGGAACACCCACGGTACACAGATGGGGCAGGCCCCCAGCTCCACCTCTTGCACAAGCATCCTAAGTGTTGGAAGCACAAACCAGTTGTTATCTGAGCACAACGGCGGCGGGGCAGCTCTCAGCAGGCAGCGTGTCCAGGCTGGGAGGCAGGCGGCACCTTGAAGGGTAGCCAGAAACCCAAGTCAGATGGGTGCCCTGTATGGAGGTAGGCAGCTCCCCTTGCTCAGAGCAAGGCTGGGTCCAATTCTAGGGCTTGTTATGTTACATTGTGTCTCTACCCTTGACTTGAGGCCCAGGTCACTGATGCCAGGGGCCCCAGGAGCAGAGCACAGTCTAGCTTAAACTCCCTAGTCTTTCAATGCCTGAATGCAGGCTGATGCTAGCACCGCTGAGCCTAAGGAGTGTGAACTCAGACTTTCTCCGGAGCCAGGCCCTGTCCCTGACTTTGAAGCTGGCTGATTCCCACTGCCCTTCAGCTTCTCAGCACAGGCCTCCCTCTCAGTATTAGCCAGTTCAGTGTTAGCTTTCAATCCAGTTGCTTTACTCCTTGAGGGCAGCCAGAATCCCCCAGAGGCTGCACCTGAGCCACCCTTGGAGTCTGCGGTGGAGGGAGGGGAGGGGAAGAGGCCAAGGCCACACAGCCAAGCCTCGTGGTGGTCAGGGTGCTGCCACCAGGCACTTGGGAGGGGACAGCTGTAGTCTCCCACTGGCCCAGCTGAGGCCTTGAAAACTCCCTTCCCTTGTCCAGCCCCACTGCCTACTGGTGGCTATGTGGCTCTGCCACAGGGCAGCTTAAAGCATAAAACCGCTGCAGTAAAGCTACTGAGTTGCCAGGAGTTAACGCACCACCTAATGTGTGGAGACAGGAGGCAGCTGCTGTGAAGGGACATAATGTCCCTTTGCCATGTCTTCTACCAACTCGTGAGAGCTGCCCCCACTGGAATCTGGGCTGGGCATAGGCACACCCCTTGGTTGTTCAGTTCCTGCCCAGACCTGGTATGTTTGTGGGCAGGGCCTGCCCAGCCGAAGCAGTGAACTCCTTTCCACTGTGAAGTCCAAACTTGTGGCATTGTCCCCCTGCCATCTCAAACAAGAAATCGCTCACTGCTCTCTTTGCAGGGCACAGCCTCCTCCTGTGGTGGCCAGTGTCCCCCACGAGCGTTTCTGGGCCTGGTCTTCTTTCCTGGCTCCCAGATCTTCATGCCCTGTAGAGCAGAAGCTGCAGGGAACGTGTCTTTGTCATCTGTGTTCTGTTCCCCATGCCCATGCCCCTCTACCTCTAGCACTCAGAGGACCCCTGAGCCCTAGCACACCCCAGCTTAGTACTTTCAAATGTGTGTCCCAAGGCCCTTGCCGAGAAGTAGGGAGTGGAAACTACTTGATGAAGAATAGTTGGAGAAGACCCCTAGGGATGGGGCCCTGCTGCCCACCAGCTCTTTTCTAGCCTTCACCCCCTGCCTAGGCTCGTGTGCCCCTCTGAGATGTGGCTAGCACAAGGTGTATATATAAGTTTTGTACCTCTGCTGATGACTGTACATAGTGTATGAAAGTTATTTAAGCCCCTTGCTGTACATTTCTGTTCCTAGATTGAATGTGTGTGTTCTAAGAAGTTGTCATAAATAAAACCTGAATGACTGTTGTCTGGTGAATGAGGCCAGCCTCTGGGACTAGATCTAGCCTGGGGAGTCTGGGGCTTCCCCAAATAGGAAACAAGCAAAGCTCTGAGGCCATTTCCCCTCCTACAGCCAGAGCCTGTGCAGTTGCGGAGCATGGGCACTAGCGTTTATTGAGCACCTGTTTATCCCAGGTACTGCTCAAGGCAGTTTCCATCGGATCTTCCCGAGCTTGTCCACAGGTGACATCTTCATTTTCTGAGATGAGAAATTGTCTCAGAATAGAAGTGAATTAATTTTTTTAAAAAAGTGAATTAATTGTCCAGGCTCACAGCTGGAAAGGACAGAGCTCAGGTTTGAACACACCCTGCCTAACGACAGCCTCATTTTCTTCCACTAATTTAGCACGCACCTTCCCCAGAGCCAGAATTCACAAGTTTCATTCCCTCATTGCTTACACAGTGAAGACAGAAATGTAGGAAGCTCCTTTCAGAAAGCATCTCTGTAGTGGTTATGATTTTCATTTAGTCTTTTCAAAGCTGTTTCTTCCCCCCCACACACACACACACCTTTGTGTTTCTTTTGGGAAGCCAGGAATTGAGCCTCGCCTGGACTGCCATATGGCTGAGCCCCAACTGTGTTCCCTCTGGATGCCCACACATCACTGCATGGTCTCAGGATGAGGCGTGGGGAGAAGCTGTGTCATCCCTGCAGGCCTGGATGCTATGAACCGTTGGCTTCCTACTGTGTTCTGTTCCCCAAACAAAAAACCACATTGGTCTCAGAAGTCCCTGGAACTCGGGCAGAGAGCTGTGAGAATTCACAGCTATGATGCAGTCCAGTCAGCAGTTCCGTGTGTGTGTGTGTGTGTGTGTGTGTGTGTGTGTGTGTGTGTGTGTAGGTCCCAGGGAAGAATCCCAAAGGGCCTTCAGGTCCTCAAGTAAAAGAGGACCTGAGCCAAAGGGAGCATTTTCCCTAAGCCCCCAGCCCCTCAAGCACAGAGCCTACCCTCCTCTGGCCTCAGAAGGATTGCTGTTTGGGGCTAGCCCTCTGAGCCCCATCCTTTCTCCCTGCAGGATCCTGCCCTCCAGTCCAGGGCCCCCTGTGCACTGCCAGAAATAATAACTGGGCACGGCCAGCTACGGCCAGGCTGGGTGTGGGAGCGAAGTCAGGTCAGGCTCTGGTGACCTTGTCAGGGGCCTTCCAAGGTGTGCTCCTCCCTGCCCTGGGCTCCACCTCACTCCTCTGCCCAAGGACTTGCAGTCAAAGTTCTGGTCTGCCTGAGTTTTGCGGGAAGAGGACACAAAGCTAAGGGCCTCCTTAATTTTTGTATTGTGTAGCGCCTCTGCCTCCCACCCTATATGAATGCTGTCTACTTTAGAAAAGAGCATGAAGGAAAACCCCATTTAGGATCCAAATGCGGGGCAGCTTTCCCAGGGAAGGAAATGGCACTGCTCAGAATGCAGTGACAGCCATTCATTGTCTGAGCTAGGTGGCATCTTAAAGACTGAGCCTTTTCCCCCAAGCTTCTCAATTTACAAATGAAGGACAGGGAGGCTGACAAAACTGCGCACGGTCATACTGGACAGAGATGACCCCACAATCTGCTACTTTGTTTTGACTAAGGTGGTACTTGGGATCATCAGAACGATCTTGGAAATAGGTCATATCCCACACCACTTGCCCTGTTGTTGCAGTTGTTGTTGTTTGGTGTGTTGCCTTTTGAGACAGGGTCTTGCTTTGTAGTTCAGACTGGCCTTGAACTCAATATGTAGCCCAGGATGGTTTTATTTTGTTTTGTTTTGTTTTTTGTTTTGTTTTGTTTTGTTTTTTTGGAGGAACCGGGGATTGAACTCAAGCCCGTGAGCTTGCCAAGGAAGCTCTTATTCTACTGAGCCATCTCTGCGGCCCCCCAGGATGGTCTTAAACTCACTATGATCCTCCTGCTGCAGCCTCCCAGGTGCTGGGATTGCAGGCGTGCACCACTGTGCCCAGCACCATTGATAGATTTCTAGTAATACCTTCCATCTATCATTGTAGCAAAGCAAGATTTGCTTTCTGGAGCCCAGGAAGGGGCATGAGCGGCGCACCCGGAGAGAGTTCTCATTCCACTCCATCTGTAAGGTGGCCAGCTGGTGAGCTCCTTAGTAACAGCTGGGGGCAGCTGACATGGGAGCCAGAGAAGAGGCCTAGGAGAATAAGACCCTCCTGACCAATGCTGAGACTGGCAGGCCCTTCAGTGTCACATTTAAGGGCCAGTGTCACATTTTCGAACCACGGCCAAGGGACTCCCGTTGCTGGGCCCAGGCCACAATGCTGTGAGAAAGGCAAATGGCAGGGAGAGAGCAAGAGGGGTGGGAGCTCAGACAGGTGACCAAGGCTGGTGCTGTGGAGGGCAGAGCTCCCCCAGCTCAGTGCGTGTTTGCCCTTGGGAGCCTGCCTTTTTCTGGAACATTGAATTAATGTCCTGAGTTCTGCCTGGGGCAGAAGCCCAGTGAGGAAGCATCAGGGATAACAGTAGCAGGGAAGGAGAGGGGAGTCGGTGGCTGCAGGAGCAGCTACCAAGCCTGCGCAGATCCAGAGACACCAGGGGAACTGCTGTCAGATGGGCCAGGGCCAGGCTGGCTCCCACAGGCAGTAGAGCAGGTGCGGAGCGGGCCCCTTGGCACCAAGCATGCTGGCTCCTCAGAGGTACAGTGACTGAGCCTGGAGCCCAGGCCTGAGCAGTCACTCAGACTGCTGTCTGGGCTGAGTCTCTTCCATACAGCCACTGATTCCCAGCTGTGTGGAATCCAAACACTCTCATCGCCCCAGACTGTGGGCGGGATAATAGCAGTTCATTAAACCACTCCTGAGTCAGCTAACCAGAGCGGACTCCGTTGTGCACCATCAAGAGCTCCGCCCAGAGCCAGGTGTGGTGGTACATGCCAATAATCCCAGTATCCTGGGAAGCTGAGGAGAGAGGATCGCAAGTTCCAAGGCCAGCCTGGGCAACCTAGCAAGACATTTATCTCAAATTAAAAAACTTTTGAAAAGTGGATTAAAGCACCTGCAAGCAGGTGCAAGGGCTGGGGGTTTGATCTCCAGGCCTGTCCTGCCAGCCCCATCCCTGGGGCATGCTGAGATGGCAATTGAGACTGGGCGTGGTGGCACGTGCCTGTAATCCCAGCTCTTGGGAGGCTGTAAATAGGTGGATCACCATGAGTCCGATCTAATAGTGAGACCCTGAACACCCTGTAGACCCTTCCTCCCCTCCCAAAAAAAAAACAAAAACAAAAACAAAAAAAACTAAAAAAAGGCTGGAATGGAGCTCAGTGCAAAGGCTCTAAGTTTAATCCCCAGTACAGTGAAATTTTTTTTCAAAAGCTGCTTGCTCTGGCCTCAGGTCACTTAGCTGAGTGGGACAAGGACAGAGAAGGGCAGAGCAGGGTCCTAGCCCCACTAGGACCCAGGTGTTTACTGCCAGGAAGCTGGCTCACCATGCAGGGCTCTACCCCAAGCAGCCATGAATCAATACCTACTTAGACAGAAATACAGGTTTTCTCCTTTTATTAGAGCAGTCCCTCCAGGCACATCATTTTTTATGCAGGGTTCGGGAGGTGGGCCCCTCTGTCCTGGGCCCAGGCCTTCGACTTCAACCCAAGGACACAGGCTCAGAAGCAGCCCCTTTGGGACCTCCTCCTGCAGGAGCAGGAAGTCATGTTGGCCAGCAGCAGTTTCTCGTTGGCTTCCAGGACATAGATGGTCTGCGTGGCAAGGCAGCTGACCATGGGATCGGGGTCTCCCTTCATGTGCCTCAGGGCTGTAACATAGACACTGCTGTAGAACAGGGCAGTGAGGGGAGGAGGGTTTGTGCCTCACTTGAGGGAGAAAAGGGGAAATGGGAAGGGGCTGGGAGCTTCTAAGAGAGGAACGAGCTCTAGGTGTCCTCTGCTTGGTTACAAGTCTGCCCTAGTTCAGGCCACCTGCTTGCACCCTGTATCCATCCCCACCCCATTGGTCTCCCTGCTTTCCTTTCTGTGGTTTCTGTCCTCCCCTTCCTCCTCCTCCTCCTCCTTCTCCTCTTCTTCCTCCTCCTCCTGCTCCTCCTTCTCCTCCTCCTCTTCCTCCTCCACAGAATAGCCCTAGCAAAGTCCTCCGACCCCCAAGAGAGTGGCAGGCAGGGCTAAGCTCTAAGCTCCGAGCCCCAGAACCAGAGGCAAGAGAGAGGAGAAAGACACACAGAGGATGCCTCCTAGAGCTATGGTGGAGAACGTGTGGGCTACTACACCAGAAGTTCTGGAGGTTCCTGAGGGAAGGGGCTGGGAACCCCTGTGTCCCCCAGGGAAGAAGTCAGCTATATCTCTTTGGAAAAGCTCAAGGACTCATCCTGGCTGACAAGCGAGCTCAAGCTCCATAGTGGTTAGAGTGAGTGGATGTGGGGGCAGCAGGGCTCTGCCCAATACCCAGAACCTGCCTTGGAGAGAGGCCTCATTTGCTCTCCTGCTCGATGCCCATTTTGCAAGTACCCCTTCCCACTTTCCCTCATTTCTGAGCCCTTCCCCCTGACAGCGGGACCTCTTAAAGCCACCAGCCGCAGGCCACTCACCTACATAGGCCTCCTCGACTTCTTTCATCTCTTCCAAGTCCAGGATTTGGAGGATCTGGCCTGTGGGTGGCACACAGAGCCACCTCAGTGGCACCCATGAACCCTTCTCCAACAGTCACCGTTCCCTCCCTTGGTCTCCACCAGAGGACTTTGCACATAAAGTTGGAGATCGTTCCCGATTCCCTGAGGGCTCTAAGCGCACTGGGCAGGTGGAGGGATGGATGTCCCTCTGCTTCCAAGACGCTTGACCCTGGGGTGATGAGCAGCACCCTGAGCCTGACTTCCTGTACAGGACAGCACCCAGATGCTGATCCCTTATCCTTTAGGGCGCTGAGCTGCTCTTGGCTGCCTGGAACCTTGTGTGACTACCAGGGGCTACATCATTTCTGGGGGCCTAGCATTATGCCTGCAGGTCCCAGTACTCACAGCAAAGGTCCCTACATCAAGGACACAGTGGCTCCAAGAAAGGGAGTGCCATACCTGCAAACCACACAGCTGCCTGGCGAATGGGGACCTGTGTGCTCTTGAACAAAGCCACACACTGCTTCAGAAACCAGAGGGCTTTGTTTGTCTCTTGCTGCAGCTGTAAGAAGTATTTAATCAAATTGAAAGACCTGTTGCCACTTCTTCTGACTTCTAGTGTCTTGGGACTAAACTAGGGTTATCCACGGCATATGTTTTAGTCTTCTAAAACATTTCAAATCTCTAACTCTTCTACCCCAGCTCCTGAAATTATATTTCCTCCATGACATCTTTCTGGATTTACCAACCCACAGGGATTGCTTTCCTGGTCTTGACCCAGCAGGAACTTGAAATGAGCATAGGTTTGCCCTAGTCTGGCTTACACATATTTTTTTTCCTATTCCTGATAGTATAAGAGTGAAACTCATTGTTTAATATTGTGTATTTATTGCCTTAAAATGTTCAATCTCATGGACATATGCTTCAGGCCGCAAAAGACCCAGTCATGCTTACAACATTCGGTTTAGACTGAGTGCTGCATGTAATCAGGCTATTTCCTACCTTTTGCCCTTACCTAGATCATATCCTCTCTGTGTCCACCCTGATGTTCTCCCTCAAAGGTTCTCCCCTTGTAGTAGCTGCAGCTTTAAGCTGACCCCTTGCATGCCCTTCCTGCTGTGAACTAACCCTTGTTTTGCACTCTGCAGTTGAAGATTTTTCAAAGGAGGCTAAGCTCATGGTTTTGGTTCTCCCCCACAAAAAAAAAAAAAAAAAAATTCCTAACTGGAAAACTAACATCCCTAAGTATCAAAACTGGGTTTCTCTGGGTTGAAGTAGTAGGGGCTGGGCCCAGGCCACCTGCTACCCTGGAAACACCCTGCTGGTCACGACCCCTTTATTCACCTTTCACTCTGCACTTGATTTTCTTTCCTAGTCTCCTTAGTGGGAGCTACAGAACTGTTGTTTCCTGGTGTCCCAGTGTTGAATCCTGAATACTGTCCTTCTCCCAATGCAGTGTGGAGCATAGCAGGCTCATGGCCGCTTCTTCCACCAACATTTAGGCATACACTCAATGCTCCTGAATCCATGTCTTTATCCCAGCCTCGTGCTCTAAGCTTCAGTGGCAGATACCTGACTTCCAGTGGGACAGACCCCTGGAGTGGCCGTAGACTTTACAAACCCCATGTGTCCAATTCAGTCCACCAGCTCCCCTCATACCTGCCCTTCCCTCAATATTCCTGACCTCTGCCCAGGAAACCACGTCAGAAAACCAAGCACCGACCTCTGCCCCCATGCATCACATTGTCAGTCTCTGCAGCCCAGCTCATCCCTCCATGGCTTTGTCTTCCCCACTTTTTGTCATCTCTCTCCAGGGGCCCCAGATCTTCTTCTTGTGAACTTTTTTCTGATTTGTAGCCTGCTGACTTATCTAAAGTGCACAGCTACCCAACCCTGCAACCCCTTGCTTGAGAAGTTCAGTGGCTTCCAGCATCTACAGCTCCAAGCCCCGCTCCTCAGACACGTGAGCCTCTGATGCCAGCCTGGCCCAGCCTCCAGCTTCCCGCTCTGGGCTCCCCTGCCCTGTCCGCAGCCTGCCTGTCCATCAGTCAAAAGCAGCCTGCAGATCTTGTTTGGTCCACACAAGAGTTTCCATTATAAATTGCTCATCAACATGAAACATGGGAAAATTCACCTAAAATTGAGATTTTCTGCTTTCCAGCAATCTGGAGTAACTAGCAACCCCAAGCTCCCTTAATTCCACAGAAACAGCTGATCACTTTTCAACTAGGAATGGTAGGAGGCTGCCTTTGATTGTCAGGATGATGGAGGCCACACTAATCTGTGATCTCCTTGCATAGTTGTGTCACTGAAAAACCTGTTTCATTCTCTTAATGAATAGAATGATTTGTTCTAATGGTGTTTGTAAATAGGATCTCAAGTTCGCATCTTGTACAGCAATTAACCACTAAGAAGAATATATGCAGTGTGTTAGTTATTGAAACTGTCCTACTGATTTGATTTGAAACTGTCTCACTGCTATCTGTTTATCAGTAAAATTATGAAAAAAAATAAATAAAAAGAAATAGGGCTGGTGAGATGGCTCAGTGGTCTAAAGCACCTACTTAGAACAAGCTTAGCAAAGCACAGGGACCGCGGTTCAATCCCCCAGCACCACATGCCAGGCAGCCCCGCCCCCTGGTGGGCTGAGCTGGCCACACACACACACACACACACACACACACACACACAAATAAATAAATAAAATTAAAAGAAATAAAGCCATGCTGTTATGTTGAGCTGTGGGGGACTCAGGTCAACAATTTCTAACATTGCCAATTAAGCGGAAGACCCAATACTATTATAGGATACTGGACTCTTTTAGAATATTTTGCTGAGTTTACATATCTATAATATTCAAATAACAGAACTTAACAAAAAAAAAAGGATACAGATGAATGTCCATTTTGTATCTGTGTATTCAAAGTGGTTGGGATAGATATACAGTTACATTCTGTTAATGAATAGAATGATTTGTGCTAATGGTGTTTGTAAATAAAATATCAAGTCCGCATCTTGTACAGCAATTAACCACTAAGAAGAATGTATGTAGTGTGTTAATTTTTTTTTAAATATTTATTTATTTTTTATTTATTACATTTATTTATTGTGTGTGTGTGTGGCCAGCTCAGCCCACCAGGGGGCGGGTCTGGCTGGCATGTGGTGCTGGGGATCGAACCGTGGTCCCTGTGCTTCACCAAGCTTGATTCAAGTAGGTGCTTTAGACCACTGAGCCATCTCTCCAGCCCTGTAGTGTGTTAATTATTGAAACAGTCCTACCAATTTTATTTGAAACTATCTCATTGATATTTGTTTATCAATAAAATTATGGCAAAAAAAAAAGAAAAACCTGTTTCAAAACTGCCTAGACCTTGACTCCATCTTCTACATTATACAGACTTCTTTTTCACAGTTCAAATACATGCTGGGTTTCTAGGAATACATCTACAGTACAACCCCAGAAGAATACTTCCTTCTGCTCAGTATGCTACCAGAAAGCATTGATTACATTGGAAGCTGCACCATCAGTGGCAGCGTTTCCTGTGGTGCTCCCCCCTTTCTAGTGTCACTCTGCATCTGCCCCTGTGATTCTGAGTAAGGAGTAGGAAGCCAGCTTCTGTTCTATGCCTTCTACTGCAGCTGAGCCCAGGCACCCACATATGCAATGGATATTATGTTGTGATACATCGTACTATGTGTACCTATGCAGCATACTTCGTTTTAAGTTATTTTTCCTAGTCTTTTGGAGTTAAGGCATTATGTTTATTTTAGTTTGGAAATAAGCATAGGTAGATAATATTTTGTCTATAAATTTCACTTTAGGTAGTAGAGAGGGTGTTACCAAATGTGTTTTGGATCAAGGGTGTGCTGTGTCAGGCCATGCTGAGAAGGTGGCCTGGGGATGGGGTCTTCCACCTCTGCTAGGCCCCCTGAGCAGCTTCTCTGATTAGTGTCTCCTGCATAACCCTTCAAAAACTTAGGGTTCCCCACATGCAATAGCAGGCGTTTTGCCCTTATTTCTCAGGGTAGTTAAAATGTTAAATTCTATAGGCAAAGGTGTGGAAAGCCATTGGCAGAGTAAGTGCTGACCCCATGCCTGTGCACAGTGCCGCCTCGGCCTGCACACGTGATCCCTCTCTCTGCCTGTCTTCCATGCTCCTCCTGAAGATGACATTTCTTCCAGGACTAGACTGGGTGCCCCTCCTTTGCACAAGAAAGTGCAGTTCTCTCAGCCCTTACCAAAGTATTGTGAAATTATTAGGTTGTGTGCCTCACCGCACAATGTAGATGGAAAACTATAGGACAAGAACCACAATCTTGGTGCGCAGCACAAAGCAGGTACCCAGGGAGTAGTTGCTCATTGTTGAACCCTTGCCACTGGTACAAACTCACATCTGCAAAAGGACCTCCCTAGCATAGGCAGTTGCCGACTTACCAAGGCCCCCATGATGGTAAATACATCTCCCTTGGTGAAGACTTCTTGGAGCTTCGACCAGCGCAACAGGACAGCTGTGTTGTACAGTGTGAGCCGGCAGAGCTGGAGAGAAAGGGAGCTCACCAAGAGGGAAACCGAATGGCAGCCCTTTGGCCTTGGTGGAATGGAAACTCAGTGAAAGACCAGGGATCGGGGTTAGATGGAAGGTAGGGCTATCAAATCCACTGGCAAACCCTTTAATCCACAAAAGAGGCTTTACCAGATTCTGAGACCCAGAACTATGCAACTTTCCTACCAGCCCCACAGCTTCCCCACTGTCACTCAAATTTGTCTCTTTGAAAACAGATTTCCCCAAAGTCAGTAACTGTTCTGGCCCTAGGTGGGCTTGCTCAGAAACATTACCGTGAAGAAGACCTGGGGGAGCCCCCTACCCCCACAGGATAATTTTTCTTTGAAGTAGGTGTGCCAACAGGCCTCAGAAAAGGCCAAAGAGCCACTCTGCAAGCAAAACGTTCTGTTGCCAATGGACTCAGCTGGTTTCAAGTTCCCCAGTTGCCAGCTTCATTTTTGGACTCTGGTGCCCAGAGCCAGCCATCCCCATCCCAGGCTCTCTGCTCTGCCCAGCACACTGCCTCCAGCCAGGGAGCCTGTCTCTACCCAGGGGCAAGGCAGGAGCAGAAAGCATCTGAGCAGGTGCCAAGAATGGTCCCAGGGATTGTCCTTCTCAGGGTGTCTACACTTGCCACACCTACTGAAACTGTGGCCTGCTGGATGGTGCTGAATATTGAGGAGGCAATAGTATGGCGTCTGGGAAGCTCTGGCTTCTCACGGAAGCTCTCGTGTTAGGATCAGAGCCTACCAAGTCTGCCTGAGCCCTGCCCACAAGCTGACCATGCTCAGCATTAGAACTCAGCTGAGTGCCAGGCCCCTGGCTGGGCCTCTTACCTGAGTCACACCAAAATTCACATCCTGCAGGTGCAACACCAGGAAGACTATCAGGTTGAGGATCTGGTGCCTTAAGGGGAAGACAAGCACCTTCCTCTTGACCCTGGCCAAGAGTTGGCTGTAGATCTGGAAGGCCAGCAAGCGCAGGTGCTCGGATTCCTGGGGGGGGGGGAGATATCTCTGCCTCTGTACCTGCCTCTGTCACAGGGTCACCTGAGCTCCACCTCTACCAACTGCATGTTCATGCCTGTGTTCCCACCCTTCTTCATAAATCTGCTCTATTCCTCAGCAGGACTCCCAGGCAGCCCATCTGATCCCATTCTATTGTAAGATGAGAAGACAGAAGCAATCAGCCCCCCACCCCATTGCATCCTGGTCAACCAGAGGGCCTTCTCAGAAAACACTGCCTGTCTCCCTCACTTCACATACATCTAGAGGCAAAAAGTACCCCATGGGGCTATACCTCCTCAAAGAACGGCTCCAGCTTGAAGGTGAGCTGAATAAGGAAGGAGGAGGAGTTCTGCCAGGTGAGCTCTTCCAGGAGGTGCTTCAGCACCAGGAAAGTCTCCAGCACAATGTCACTGTCTGAGGAGTAGCAGCAGTTCAGCACGTGGGGCTGCAGGATGTGCAGTCGCTTCTCCTGCGGAACAAGAGCCACACAAAACTTCAGGGTCAGTCGGGGAAATCTGGGAAATGACTCGCTTTTGGTTCAGCTCCCTGCACATGAGATCCACTGGGCTCCACCACTTCCCACCCTGGAACTGGGACTGGCCCAGCTGATGGATGGCTGTCGGACTGAGCTGCCCTGGAGGACATTTGGGAAGGTAACTTCTGCCCCCCATGGGAAAAGAGAATAAGATGGAGGAGGCCCCTCTTTCTACTACTTTGTGAGTTCCCTCCACTGCCTTTCCCATCTCTGATGATGGTACCAATCTTTGAGAGACTCAGATATGTCTGGGGTCCCAGGATTGGCTGAGTCTCATCTATGAAGTGACCAATGGCACAGCTTCCTTGGAGGGCTCTTCCTAGGAATGATAAAACATGAATGGCACAAGCCCTGGCCTTGTCCTTGAGGGACTGTCCTCATGAGGATTTGCACTCTGATTCCAAGAATGTCTATAACCGGACACATCAGATCTCTAGGTCCACCTGTGCCTTTCCCAAGTGACAACATCTGAGAGCATGCCCTTGGCCCCTGCCACATCATACCAGGTTCTTGTGCTTTGTGAAGACCTCTGTCATCTGCAGCAGAAGCTTAACTGTGGCTGGTTCAGCACAGTTGAACCAGTTGGCCAGAATGTGGGTGACGAAGTCATCCACTATGGCAGCCACATCCGGGCACTGGAGCAGCTGGCAAAAGGAGACCAAAAAAGATGGGCAAAGAAAGAGTGGTGACTTTGAACCTAGGTTCCCACTGGCTAGTAAAGGAGTGTTCTGGAGGCTTTGGGGCAATTGGTAGAAAAATCAAAGTTCAGTTGAAGGGTAAATTCACATCATATTGTGCCGGAAGTCATTTGCTCATTCTGCAAGTTTTCCTTAGCCCCCAGGAGCTGGCATGATAGGCGTGTGCCGTGGCCTTGCTCAGTTTGTTATTCTGAACTTGACCCAGGTGCAGATAATGGGGCCAGAGCAGTGGGGAAGGAGAAGGGATGGTTCTGAGGATTGCTGCAAGGTGAGCATTGGTTGGATTCACTGACTTGTTGAAAAAGAAAAAGAGAAGTCAAAGACAATCTCCAAGAACAGGACTTTGTTAAAGGGAGGAGAACAAAACAAAATATTACAAGATCACTGTCACTGTCATTTCACGGCCCTGGGGATGCTGAGCTACCTGGGCAATGCTGTGCCCTGATTTCAGGACCACTGGTCCTGCTTGCACATTAGAGTCCTGAGGAGAACCATTAAAAATGCTGTTCCCAGGGCTGGGGAGATGGCTCCGTGGAATAAGCACTTCCCTGGCAAGCGCAAGGGCCTGAGTTCAATCCCCAGTTCCACCAAAAAAAAAAAAAAAAAAAAAAAAATGCTGTTCCCTAACTCCACGCAACTCCCAAGACTGAATTGGGCCCCAGGCATTCGTGTTATTTATTTGTTGTTCTTTCTAAGTCTCCCAGAGATCCCAGTATGCAGACAGTGTTATTAATGATAGTGTAAAATTGGAAATAGAATGTCCAATTAATTATTGAACAACTTTGTGAAGAAATATCCTATCCCTACTAAAATTTATGTTAACAAAGACTATGCATTGACTCAGGAGGAAGATTGAAAACAAGCCTCCTTATCTAGAACACTGGTAGGGAATCTCTCAACTATTGTGTGCACACAGATACACACCCCTCTATGTAGGTTCTAGGAACTGTGGTAACTAGTGATTTTATAATTTTTACATACTTTCCAAGTTTTCTGCAAAGATGCCTGAATCATTTCTGCCAGGTGGTTAAATTACACTGAGTCCATTTTGGTTGGGCACTGAGCCAAGGTTAATTTACAAGGGCTGATCAAGGGTGGGTGAAGGACAAAGCTGGGTTGGTCCATCAGGACAGGGCTAGAATAACCGTGAGATTCCATGAGGGATCAAAGCCTATGGCTCAAGGAACCCTAACAAAATATTATCCATGTCCTCCAGCCTTCCTGTGAGGCAGTGGCAGTAACCAGGTTCCTCCTCTCCCTGGTAGCCATTAGTTAAGGGAGTCCACTGGATGTGGCTACTTTCCCCGGGGACCATCCTCCCCTGCCCTCTTCCCCAGTCACCTCTGCCAGGAACACCAAGGCTGTGAAGTGGTTGGCACAGCTGGGGTCCTGAAGCATCTTCATGAGGAGGCCGAAGATGGGCCGGTTGTGCCAGCAGTTCTTTGTGACCAGGGACCTGCAGATGAGAACCCAGCCTCAGGATAAGCCTAGGCCATAGAAGAGGACCAAGAGCATTGGGGGGCCCCAGTCAGGGATCCAGGTGCAGCTCACCTGGCCAGCAGAGCGACTCCATCATAGTGTCTTTCAGGATTGACGAGCAGTTCCCAGCCCCCAACCTTCTCAATTTCAGACTCAAAGTTCCCGTACCCAGATCTGTGCATCAGGGTCTTCAGGGCCTCCACAGTGGAACTGGGGAAGCAGCAGGAGGTGGGTGAGAAGGCACTCCCACACTGCTTCTCCCTCTCATCAGTCACCCACCAGAGTCCCAACCTCCCAGTGAACTGTGACCTGCTGGTGGCGAGACAGCCCTTACAGACCCAGTGTAACAGTGGACAAATGAGACATCCAAGACCAACATGAATGTAGTGTTTCTAATGTGACCCTGGAAACCTGCAGAGGGGTAGGGAATGCAACAACTCATGTCTGCAAACCTGGATGTCTTGCTTTAATTTCACTTAGGTTCAGAATCTGCATCAGCCTAGGAAGCCAGTATTAAAGAAAGAGACTTTCTTTAAAAATCCAGGAAAACTTTTTTTTTGCAATACCGGGGATTGAACTGAGGACCCTGCGTTTGCCGGGGAAGTTCTTATTCTACTGAGCCACTCCCCAGCCCCAAAACTTCTTGAAATGATGCATGAGTGACATACTAAATGCTCCTCAAGAGGTCATGAAAATGATATTGAGGTCAGCAGTCTGGCTCCAAGACTGAGCAGAGGGGCCAAGGTGCTGGCACCCAGGACACAGCCGCTGACGCTCACTGGCGCTCACTGGCGCTCACTGGCGGTGCAGAGTACCTGACGGGGTCCACCCACTCCGTTATGTGACGCCGATCCTGGATCATTGCGGCGTTCCCTTCCACCATGAGGAAGGAGGTCTGGAAGAGCAGAGCGATGAACAGAGGGGAAAAGAAGGTCTGCACCTCCATCTGCTGACTCCACTCCAGCAGAAGCTCATGGATGGCTCTGGTGGCCTGCAGGTGAGGACAGCATGCTTGCCATCGTCTTTACCACCATTCAAAGCCCTGTCCCCAGAAAGTCCTTTCCCCCCACCACTCACACGACAGGCTTGCCTGGTAAGGACCACTTCGCTCACAGCAAGGGAAAACTAAATTCATGGGAACCAGGAAAATAAGCTATTTCTAGAATGATGCTGTGTTATATACTCCTGCAGTCACGGTGGTAGTTTCTGCCTCTCACCATCCTTGAGAGGGCTACATGTCTGACCTCAACTCACCCCAGAAAAAGTAGAATTCATCCTCTCTTCCCATCCCCCAATATCTGGAAAAACTACCCTTCCAACCTCACCCTGAGATTTTGCCATTAGAATGTTCAAGATAACACTGGTGCCCCGAAGGAGAAGGCCTCCAGAGCAAGCAGCCTGGCACAGAGCCAGAAAATGCCCTGCCCAGACCCTGCCCTTCTCCACCCCCTTCTCTGCCAGCCCATCCATACAATCAGCGGAGAGATCTCTGTTCTCTGGCTGGGATCCCGGTCCAGAGGTGCTGGCTGCGGAGCCAGTCTCTGCAGCAGATGTTTCATGATGACCTCACAGCCTTTTGGGAAGGATGCCAGGATCTCCCAGGGCTTGCACATCCCCCTGCAGAGGCAGAAGACAGCAACACAGTGACCCCATACTCTCCATGATGCTTCCATGGGACAGGCTCGGGCTCCTTGGCCAGCGCCCCAGTTCCTCTGCTTTCTTCCTCCTTCCTCACCTCTCTTCTTCCTCCCCTCTCTCCTTTTATCACCTCCAGACATCTCTGAGAATGTTCACTTGTCCTTGGAGCTTGATTTAAGACAGTCTCTGGGACCAAGCCTCGTTGGTCATACTTTTCCCTGTGGCCCTGTCCAAGCTTTCTTTTCCCGTGCAGCTCTTCACTCTGTGAAGCCCCAGCACATGCGACCCATCACTCTGCAGGCCTGGCCTGGTGGCTTCCCTACACCATCCTCGCTCCACATATTCTCTTTCTCCTGCAGTTCTACCCATCTGCCTTTGCCCAGCTCAGCTCCCCACTTCTACACCTGACAAAAATCACACACAGAAGAAAAGTACACACCAGAATAGTGTTTTCTGCAAATAGCAGCAATACCTGAAGCAAATCTGCTTAATAGTTGCAAGAAATCATAGCCTTTTGAAACAAGAGGAAAGCAAACCTGAAACTTTAAAAAAATAACCCCATTGACTGAGCTTCCAAGATTTTCTTTCTTTGTCTCCCACTTTGGCCTAAAGGTGACTTCAGTGCTGACCTATGCAGCAGGCACAGGCAGGGGATCTCTGAGTGAGACAGGGGCCTGATGAATGAAAGAGCACACAATCCTGGGTTTCATTGTCTTTTTTCTCCCCACCCCTGTCCAGCGCAACTCTAGCTGTAGAGCTGGGCAGTGGAGGTAGTGGTGGTGCAATTCTAACACAAGCACTTTACACAGAGACTTGGAGCCCCACAAGCAGGGAGAGGGAGGACTCCTTATGACTGTTTTTATTTTTATTTACGTGTGTGTGGGGGGGGGCAGCTGGGGCTCAAACCCCAGGTCTTGCACATGCCAGGCAAAGGCTGTACCACTCACTGAACCATACTTCAGCCCCTGCTGATTGTCTTATTCTTTCCCTCCCTTTCTCCCCCTCCCACCACCTCATTTTTCACCATGAAGGTAGCCGCACAATGATACCAGCAAAGGGCAGCAGAACTCTGAGAGGAAGCCCCGCTTTCCAGGCAGAGAAGCTGGAAAGGGATCCCTGGGATTAGAAGTTGAGGGGAGAGGGTCAGCCAAATAGCTCAGTGGACTAAAGCACCTGCTCAGGCAGAGTGCAGCAGCCCAGGTTTGATCCCCAGGGTGCCAGCCCCGCCCCCAGGGTGCGCTGAGGCAGCAATTGAGAGTAGGAAGCTGGGAAGTGCTTGGGAAGCTGAAAACAGGAGAATCACTATGAGTCTGATCTGTGTAGTGAGACTCTGTAGACTCTGTACCCTGTAGACCCTGTACTAAACACACACACACACACACACACACACACACACACACACAAGTTAAGGGGAATCTTAGGAGAAAGCAAGAGAAAGGGATCCCCTAATTTTGTGTATGAGGCAGTCCTGCAGTCCCTCCTGGGCTGCACATTCAGAGGTAAGGCCCAAATAACACCAAGACTGTGGAAGAGCACGTGGTGATGGAGTCGAGCTGTCAACCCAGAATTCTACTGTCAGTGGATATGTTCTTAAAAATGAAGGTAAAGTATGAAATATTCTTATATAAGAGAAAGCAAAAAGAATTTATCCCTCAAGGACCTCGTACAAATGAATTTTGCTTTTGTTTTTGTTTTTTTTTGCAGAACCGGGGATTGAACTCAGGCCCTTGCGCTTGCAAGCACAAGTTCCTGAGTTCAATCCCTAGCACTACCAAAACAAAAAAAAAATAAAAGAAAGAAAAAAGAAACAGGTAAAAGATTTAAATGTATGACCAAGGAGATACATGACTGGCAAATAAAGACATGAAATAGGGAAAGGGATATAGCTCGGTGGCACAGTGCCTGACTGGCAAGTGCAAGGTCCTAAGTTTGATTCCTGGTACCAACAAATAAACAAAAGACATAAAGTAATGCTCAAGATAATGCATTAGTTGGAATTAACTAAGGAAAATGCAAATTAAAACCACAACAAAAGACTACTCCACACTTGTTAACTTTCAAAAATGAGAGTCTTAAGTGCTGGCAAAGACAGAAGCAAATGGAAATACTGGTAGAAATGCAAAATGCCATAGCTACTGTAAAAAATATATTTAGGGGCTGGGGAGATGTCTCAATAGAACAAGAGCTTCCCAGGCAAGTGCAAGGGTCTGAGTTCAATCCCTGGTTCCACAAAAAAAAAAAAAAAAAAAAAAAAAAAATCCTTCTAAAGTCAGCCACATGCCTCCCATGTTGTCCAACTACAATCTGATTCTTAGGAACAAAACTTACATTTATACAAAAATCTATACACAAATATTTACAGCAACATCATTCATATTTACCAAAACTTGGAAGCAACCTACTTGGTGAATAGATAAATTACACCTCCATATAAAAGGCTACAACTTCACAATAAAGGGAATGGCCTACTGATACAACCGCATAAGTGAATCCCACACACATTACCCTAAGTAAATGAAGCAGATCCAAAAGTCTGCATACTGTATGATTCTAGTTGTAGTTTGTTCTAGAAGACGTGAAGCTACTGGGATTACGAGCAGATCAGCGGTTGCCATGGCTGGGGTGAAGGACATCCCGAAGGGCATGCAGAAAGTGCTGAGGAGTTGTATCTTGTTGTGGTAGAGATGATTCCAACTATGCATTTGAGGACATTTGTATAATTATACATCAATAGAGTAAATATTGCTGCATAAAAATTGTTTTTTAATTTAGTAAAAGAATTATAGTATACTACATCCATACAATATAGTTTCGGCAGTTGTTAAAATTACGCTCACAAAAGGATTTTAGAAGTTTTTTTCAATTTTTGTTGTGGTTGAGACAGGGTCTCACTATGTAGTCATCCTCCTGTCTCAGCCTTCCCAGTGCTGGGATTACACGTGTGCATCTCCATACCTGGTTCCAGGGTTGGCACGGTGTGCCCAGGGTTCTGGGGCCAGCACAGCATGCAGTACCAGGGATCAAGCTCAGGACTTTGAGCTTGCCAGGCAGGTGGTTAGATCGCCAAGCTATCTCCCCAGCCCTCACTAAAGGATTTTAACTTAGTAAATACTATAATAGAATGTTAAATACACACACACACACACACACACACACACACACACACCAACAGATAACAGTATGAATTTGGCTTTTTTTTTTTTTTTTTTTTTTTTGGAGGCAGGGCTCACTAAGTATACTGGGCTGGCCTCAAACTCATGGCAATCTTCTTTTCTCAGTCTCCCAAGTGTTGAGATTACAAATGTGCCCCAACATTTTTTTTTTTTTTTTTTTTTTTTTTTTTTTTTTTTTGGAACTGGGGATTGAACTCAGGCCCTTGCACTTGCCAGGGAAGCGCTTATTCCACTGAGACATCTCCTCGGCCCTACCAACACCATTTTTAAATACCACTTTTAAAAATGCTACTGAGGAGGCTCTTTCCCATCTTGCAAGATGGCAGGTGAAAAAATTGAGAGGTCAGACACTGAAGAGAAGAAACCCGAAGCCCAGAAGGCTGCTGCCAGTGGTACTGGTAAAAATGTTAAGGTGAAGAAGGCCAAAAAAGTCCAAGAAGGGGCAGCCATACTGTAGCGGAAATCCTGTTCTGATTCCAGAAAAGCTTTGTACAAGAGAAAGTACACAGTTGCTAAATCAAAGGTTGAGAAGAAAAAGAGAAAGTTCTTGCTACGATCACAAAACCAGTCAGTGGGGACAAGAATGGAGGTAGCCGGGTGGTTAAGCTTCGAAAAATGCCTAGATACTACCCTACTGAAGACATGCCCCGAAAGTTCTTGAGCCACGGCAAGAAACCCTTCAGGCAGCATGTGCGGAAACTTCGAGCTAGCATCACTCCCGGCACCATCTTGATCATCCTCACCGGGCGTCACAGAGGCAAGAGAGTGGTCTTCCTGAAGCAGTTGGCCAGTGGTTTGCTACTTGTGTTTGGGCCTCTGAGCCTTAGTCGTGTTCCTCTACGAAGAGCACACCAGAAGTTTGTCATTGCCACCTCTACAAAAATTGACATCAGCAAAGTGAAAATCCCCAAACACCTCACTGATGCTTTACTTCAAGAAGAAGAAACTGCAGAAACCCAGGCAGCAGGAGGGCGAGATCTTCAATACCGAGAAACAGAGATACCAGATTTCAGAGCAGAGCAAGGTGGATCAGAAAGTGGTGGACTCACAGATTTTAGCAAAAATCAAAGCTGTTCCTCAGCTCTGGGGCTATCTGTGATACGTTTTTGCTCTGACAAATGGAATTTATCCTCATAAATTAGGGTTCTAAATTTCTTACTACGAACCTAATTAAATAACTGATACATTTTTAAAAAATAAAATTAAAAAAACAATGCTACTGAGGGGGCTGGGGAGATAGCGCAGCAGTCTAAGCACCTGCCTGGCAAGCACAAGGACCTGACTTTGATCCTTGTACCACCTGCCAGGCAAAACCAGGTGTGGTGGCACACACATGTAATTCCAGCACTGGGGTGGCTGAGACAGGAGGATCACTATGAGTTGGAGCTGTGTAGCAAGATCCTGTACCAATAAATAAATAAATAAGATTTATAAATAAATAAATAAAATAAAAATGCAGCTCAGAAGCAAATTACTTGCCTAACATTAAGTGAGACTAGGTTTCATTTCCAGAATTTCAAAAAACCAAAGCAAGAACAAGTAGACAGGGCTGGCCAGATAGCTCAGCAGACTAAAGTGCCTGCTTAGGCAAAGCGCAGTGGCTGGGATTCGATCCCCAGCCTGCCTTGCTGGCCCTGCCCTCTGTGTGCTCTGAGATGGCAATTGAGACTGAGCGTGGTGGCACATGCCTGTAATCCCAGCACTTGGAAGGCTGAAAACAAGAGAATCACTACAAGTCCAATCTTTGTAGTGAGACCCTATGCACCCTGTAGACCCTGTACCAAATACATAAAAAAAGAATAAGTGGACAAATGTAAAGTATGTCCAAGTGATAGCAGAAGGTGCTTTGAATGAAATTTCCCTTTTTCCTTTGCTTTTTCTAAATTTTACATGCTTTCCAAATTTTCTGCAATAAATTATATGACTTAGAATTACTGTACCACAAGTAAGAAACTATTAAAAACTGAATGCAGGGGCTGGAGAGATGGCTCAGTGGTCTAAAGCACCTACTTGGAACAAGCTTGGCAAAGCATCAGGGGACCGCGGTTCAATCCCCCAGCACCACATGCCAGCCACCCCCGCCCCCTGGTGGACTGAGCTGGCCACACACACAC